GCAAATAACAGCTACCCTGTTAGTATTCTTGTATTAACATGGAATAACACAGGTGGAGTATTTGATATAGTGCTGTCAAATAGTAAGCTGTGACTGTCGTGTGCTGGTCCTAAATGTCCCTTTGTTGTATCACCTGTCCCCAGGGCTTCGGTTATCTATTGCTGTGTAACCAGCATCTCAAGATGTAGTGGCCTAGAATAACCATGTTATTATTTCTCATGATTCCATGGATTGACTGTGGTTCAGCTGGATGGTTCTTCTGCTAGTAGTTTGGGATTTCTCAGGCAGCTACAGTCAAATGGTGGCTGGGACAGGAATATCTAAAATAGCTTTACTTCCATGTCTTCCATGTCTTGACAGGGGTAATGGGAAGCCGGAGAATCTGTCTTTGCAGGGGCAGTAAGGTCTCCATGTGGCCTCCACAAAGTAGCTGAATCTCAAGAGCAAAGGTCGCAAGAGGGCCAGCTCCAGTGTGGGAGCACAGTTTATATCATGTTTGCTAATGTCCCTTTGACCAAATTTAGTGACCATGGCCCAGGACTAGAGTCAGTATGGGAGGGGCTACTCAAGGGAGGAATGATACCAACAGGCATGGTTCCGTGGCACCAACATCAGTCTGCCCCATCCGGGTTCCAGGTCCCTACTGTCGGGAACACATCTTCATGGGACATCACTCTGGTAGCTTGGTCCTGCTAACTTCACTGCCAATCAGATAAGCAGGTCTTTGATTGTTCTGTTTGCTGAGTGTGGTGCTGGATGCTGGGTCATAGATTGCATGTCCTCATTTTATCAACTTTCTCCCGAGATTACTCCATATCAGCTTTCACATTTCCGAGTTGAAAACCTAAACACACCTTATTTCCCCCTTCTCATTTTCTTACCAAAATCCTGACTTCATGAAACCCCGGCCTGTCTTCCTTGGTTCTGCACCCTCACTGCCACCACCAAAGTCCTTGTCCTTATTATCTGACACACGAACAGCTGCAGTACCTTTCGGTTAAGTTTTCTTTACACATCACTTTCTGTGGGATGCGTTTCCCCCCACAAGAACCTGCAGTATATTTATAGTTCTTGTCCCATGAAACCTAACCTCCCTGCTTGTGTTTCTGAGGTCCTTATTTATCTAACCCTACTCCATTGATACTTTTTTTTTTTAATATTGTACGTCACTCACCCTCCAGAATCAGAGAGTGAGGAGGGAAGGTACTTAAAGTCCATGTACATTATAAAGTCTTAGGACACAGAGGGGAATGGAGGCGGCGACGTGGATACAGGGCAAAGCTCCTGAAGACGGGATGTAAAGCAGAAGGGATTCATTGTCCTATTTGTGAGAATTAGTTAGGAGGAAAAGGGGGACCCAGAAGCTTCAAGGGGTTAGAAATTAGATCCCCTTTAGTGGAGTCCCTTATTTTTTAGAAACCCTAAACTGTCTTTTGTTCCTTGCATTGCCCGTGGCTCAGTTGGGTAATACACCCACACGGTCTGGTTTTATTGTCGCCAGTGGTGCCAGCCTGTGTGTTCTCATGCTGTGCTTGGCACACAGTGAGTGCCTCATAGCGTTTTGGGGTGAAGAATAGAAGCAAAATGTAAGTTAAATTCATGCTTTTAATACATTAAGATGGACGACATCGACAAAATGAAATGAAAGGGTGTATGACCTTATGCATTGCGTGGAGAGAGATGCAGAACGCAGGTTCATGAATGATCGTTGCCATTAAACGTGGGCATTTGGTGAGCACACAGTGTGTGTGGCTGGGATGGAGGAAGGCTGGGCCCCACGTCACATGCAGCCAGAGGACCTGCCCTCTGTGGATGGAGCACACAAAATGCCTTTTGGAGCAGCTAAAATTTTAAAATAGGCCATCGACAGAGACTAGCCTCCTGTTCGTATGCAGAAACAGCATGTTGAAGTGTTAAGCATTGAAAGGCATTAACTGAGGACGTCCAGCAGGCAGACTAGTCCAGCAGGCAGACTAAGCTGTTTGGTCTTTTTCCGAACTTATTCTTATTCCAAAGCCATTCTTTCCATTCCAGAGGCATAGTGTTTCTGGGAAACCACCGATAAGGTTTCCCCTCCGTGACCCAGAGGCTGAGGAAATGGCAGATGCTTTTGAAGAATCTCTCCTGTCCCACAAGCTTTCAACCACAGTTTCAAGCATCCTATTTTAAAGAATTCAACTCCTGGGTGGTCCACTTCGCTTTAGGAACTTGGACTTTAAGGCGGCTGCATTCTTGGGGTGGAGTGGTGGTCTCTTCTCACTGAGATCCTGGTTGGTCCCCCTTAACTTCTCAGCACAGCTGAAGACTGGGGTGGGGGAGTGGGTGTGTGTGTGTGTGTGGGGGGGGTGCCCCCCACCTTCCTACTGGCGACTTGCAGGCCCAGGGGCCTCAGCTTCCTGCCGAGTCCACCCAGCTATGTCATGCAGGGATGCAGGGAGAATTTTCCCTGGGAGGGCCTCCTCCGAAGTCTTGGAGATGAGCCTTGAGCTCTTGGCTGGAGTCGGGCTTTTCCAGAGTGGAGGCTGTAGTAGTGTTCGTCATTGATTGAGAGACGTGCTGCCCGGCTATTTTCATGCAAGTCAAATAAAAACCTCTCTTGTCTTAGGCCGGCTTTGAAAGGTGTTTTCCTGATGATTTCCCAGCGACACAGAATGACTGTGTGGGAGAGAGCAGTTAAGTCGCCAGAACGCGCTGGGCTGCTGCCTGCCTCCCCCGAAGCGCCCCTTTTCCCGGCACACACTTGCTGCTCTGTTTTCTGTCCTGGAGCTGCCTGAATTGTGCAATTTTTGTAGGTGAATGTGAACTCTTCAATCCAGCAGGAAGTGCCAGGAACACAAACAGCCCCGCAAATTGGCATTTGCCAACCGAGCTGGTTGCATTATCTCCACGGGGCACTTAGCTTGAGAGAAAACTCAGGCTTTTGCAAGCATCCAGGAAGCATTTCAACAAGGGAGAAAGAAGCACCAGGAAAAGGCCGTCATCAGGAGGTGCTCCAACTCTGGGCCATGTTGGATTTTTGTTGTTACTCTTTATCCAAGCTGCTTCTGATTTCGGGGTACTCTGGCCAGGTTAATAGTCTTTGAAAAAGGGATTTCAAATTGGTGACCCACAAGCCCAATTCCATTCACAGACTCTGTGTGTGTGTGTGTGTGTGTGTCAGGGTCAGAGTTTCAAGTATGCGGGGCTGGTGCTGAGCAGCGGTGGCCCCGTTAGGTGGGGTACGTGCTCCCTGGTTGAGCACAGGCCCCACTTGTCCCTGCTCCCCTTAGTCTTGTCCACAAGCTGCTCCACTCTGCGTGTTCCTCGCATGGTCCCTTGTAGGCCTTGGAGTTTGAACCAGGATTTCCACAGCGTTCCTCGAATGCTGGAGTCCACTTGCTCTGAGACAAACCAAAAGGGTAGTTAAGGATGTTTCAGGAATTGATGTGTATGATAGAACTAAAATTTAGAACCATCTGCAGTGGTTTCTCAGTGAAAACGTTTTTCACCTGCTCCCAGTGGCCAACCCTGGCTGAAAGGCTGACTTTCAGCACTTCTTTCGGCGTCGGGAGCTGACTTCCTCAAGGCCTGTCTGCCGCCCAGCTCCTTAGACAGCAGAGCTGGCGGCTGGGCCAGCTCCGGGTACTCCCCAGGCCTCTGCTGAAGACCCCTCAGAGGTAGCACACGTGCCGCCCGCCCCAGGGCCAACGTCAGTAAAGAGTGTAGTCAGCACAAAGAAATGTGAAGTGATCACATGCTCTGGGGCCCAGACCAGTTCTTAGTTCTCTGCTAATGAAAAATACAACGTCTGCAGACGTTCGGCTGTCTGAGGCACAAGTCTCTTTGTCCTGTCTTTATATAACTCCCTTCCGCACCTGAGCCTTCAGTATGGCAAGAAATAGGCAGCAACAGTGCTATTTGAGCTTTAGCCTCCTTTCCTATGCCCCTGTGCCCTCGCCTCGCTGTAGAAGTATTCGGTGATATGGGGAATAGAGCACGGAAGAGGCCGAGACGCGATGGTGGCAGAGTGGTCCCCAGGCTCACACGGTGAGCCTCTGCATAACTGAGGATTTGATAAGGAGAATAAGCCACCACAAAAAGAATTTTGAAATAATGATTCTTCTTAGAATCATTGTACCTCCCCCGTGATTATTAGAGTAAAACCTTTAAAATTTAGTACTAACAAACTTCGCATCAGGTTTTCATATCGTGTTGTGTTTTCCATGTGCCCAATCAGACGGAACACACAGTGGGTCAACACGAGCTGTAGAATGAAAACACCTCCCTACAGAAGAGGCTAATTATTTGGTCTCGGGCTGTTCTTCCTGTGGGTCCTCAATTTCTTCCATTTCTAGTCTATTCTATCATGGAAACTAAACTTACAGTAAAAATAATATCTAGAGGAATCTATCTTCTTTTCATTACTTGGCTTTTATTTTTCCTCTCAGATAATTGTGTCTCTTAAAGCACCTGTTTTAAATGTCAATTATTAAACTAGGTAAGGATTTGAACTAGTTTGCTGACATTTTTTAGCTAATTTTTAAAATTTGAGGTAATCGTAGATTCAGGTGCAATCGTAAGAAATAATAGAGAGGTTTCACTTACCTTTTACCCGGTTCTCCCCGACTGTAACATCATGAAACACTCTAGAGCAATGTGACAATCGGTGTTGACAGCAGCTCAGGCGAGAGACAGAACTCGTCTGCCATCTCAAGGGCTCCTCAGGTTGTCGTTTCGTAGTCACACTCATTCTGCCAGCCCACCTCTGGCAGCCACCAGTCTATTCTCCATTTCTCTAATTTCGCAGCTGGCTTATTTTTAGCTACATTTCTTCAACAGTTGGCCTCTGGGACGTGAAGACCATTGAACACTTAGGCAAGGCTGATGACTCTTGTAGGTGGAAGCTTGTATTTATAGATGCATGCTCTCAAGTGTTGCCTTGTGTGGCTGTTCCAGGCGACAGTGTAGGGTCCCGAAGCCCAGAGTACTGAGACGTCAGAAAATGGCCCTACCAAAGGTGGATGGAATTTTCTCCCCTGAATTCACTACCTCCACAGAGCAGGCCAACAAGTGCCCTCGGTGCAGAGCGCCTCCGCCTCTCCCTGATGCTGGGAACATCAGGTACTGTCTGGAGCCGGCAGCGGCAGCCGTGGAAGGGTGACGGAAGGTGTTTTCTCTACCTGCTGTGACTCTGCTGCTGAGTGTTGGGACCCAGCTCCTTCCTTTTCCCTCCATCTTTGAGGTTCTCTTAGCCGTGGGCAGCTCCGCTTTGACCCTGTGCTGGTACTTGGAGCTTCTGGAATGCCACAGGTGCCAAATAGTCTTTCCCCCTTCCTTGCGCTCAGTCTGACTTGATAATCTGATGCCACCATAGAAGTGAAAGCCATTGTCATTCTTAAGCAAGCAGCTGGTACTAGAAGGGTCACAAATCATCTGATGTCCACAGCATGTGGGCCTCTGTGACACTTGCTCTGATCTGTAGCTTTGCGGCCCAAACACTTACCTCTTAGGACATGAAGGATGACATCTGGTGGAGCACATATTGGAGGAAATTGATTTCTCTAAGTGTTTATGGATTGGAATTGCTTATAACAGCTCTGTCCTTGGCATAAATCAGCAGGACATTTTCAATTCTTTTAATTACAGGAATCAAATGGGATAGCTTAGAAAGAAGTATGATTGTGGTGAGAAATTCGGCATTTCAGACATATTGTATTACACTTATTTATATTTAAACTATTTTAAATATTTTGTTATCATTGAAGTCTTAAGTCCCATAATAAAATCAGTCTCTACTGGAGGGATATAAGAATTGATAGAAGGAGTTCATGGACTCACAAAACCATGTGCTGACTGAGTTGTAGTGAAGGAATTCATGGGTTTCTAAGGTGCTTTCCTCCCTTCCTAGTCTTCTTTCTTTCATGTTGTGTCCAATTTTAACCTTTTTGCAAACTGAGGAGTTGTTAAGATTTTAATGAACTATCTACGTGTCTAAAGTTCTTAATTATAAATTTAAACTAGCCAGCTGAGTTGTGAAGAGGATGGAATCTGTGGTTTTGGGTCCTGGGATGCTATGCAAAAGAAATAATAAAAAGTGAAAGTTTTAATGAGAGGGGCTGTGCGAAGCTTTTTAGTCATGTTTGTTCAAAAAGAACAACAAGAAAAGAGAAAGAAAGAATGAATGAACGAATAAATTGAAGTTGCTGATTTGTGGCATGTATCTGAGTGTTACCTCCAGCACTCCATATATATATGGAGACTTAAAGCTTTTCATTTTGTTACTTAGGCTCCTTTATCAGTTATCTGTGCATTAAAGAGTTTTCAGTGCCTGGTCTTCAGCATTAAATTGGATGATTCCTGATACAAGAAAAGAAACCCATAGGTTATGCTTTGGAATTTAGTTATCAGTTACTTAGGAATTTCAGTTCAAAGGAGACTACTAAACCTGAGTCAGTTATTTTTTTACTCAAAAACATAATTCCATTGGAAAGCTTATATACCCTATATAAAAGTTTTAAATGTAAAAGATTGTTTTAAATGAGTAAGAAATTAAAATGTGTGCAGTGTTCTGAGATTAGGATGTTAGGGAATATGAGTATTTCTCATCGGTAGACTGACAGAGTGAACCTTGAAATACACAGTATTGGACAACTGCTTTTCGATTATTTTCATGTACTAAATTGGGGGTTTTGGGTTACGTCAGCTTCAAAGTACTTAAATGAGAAATAACAATGCTGGCCCAACTGAGAAACACTGCTCCTGCCACTAGAATGTAAGTCCCTGAGGGCAAAGATTTTGTAGATGTTGGTTATGGTTGTATTTCTAGCTCCTAGAGTAGCTCCTGACACATAAGAGGCAACGGTACAGTTTTGTTGAATGAATAAAAAATAAACACAGGCTAATAGACTGAGAAATTGTATAAGGACTGCATCTTCTTTGCAGTAAGGACTGTTTATTCCCCTTGAGAATAGTGAAACTGTACATTTGTTTGCTGTTACTAAGGTAAGACATTCTATGCAGCATAAATGCCATATTTTTAAAAAGATGCCTCAGCCACATTATGTAGGTCATACTTCTAGGTACTCTCACGTCTTTGATCGAGTACAAGGTCCCCTAACAAATAATATAATTCCTTGACTCTAAAAACAAAGCAACAGAAAAGAAGCAGGTCGAGTTGGAGGTGGACGTGTTAGATGTTTACTGTGTGCTGCTGAACTGATCTGTGGAGAGGGGTGTCGTATCCCCTGACCGTCACTATATCCTCGTGTAATAGCCGTTGTTCTCTGCACAGGTGAGGCAGTCAGCTCAGCCAGTAGGTAGTGAAGACTGATTTCGAGTCCAGTTCTGCCTGTCTGCAAAATCCATGCACTTGACACCATGTTATTTTTTCTGAGACCTACAATCTAATTTCTGTGGTTTATTTCAGTCCAACTTGAAGTGTTTTGCATTCACGGTTCCCAAATTCTTACTGTGGTTAATGAGAGCTTTTCAGTCTGTGCTGACTTCTTTGATACCTGTTGACACTGAATGTCTTTTTGAAGGTCCCACTTGAGATTCTGTCATCACTTGGTTTTTACCTTGTCCTGGTTTTCTGCCTCTGCCCACTCTCTTGGGGTTTCATTAAATGTATGGACTATTTGAGGGGAGAAGTGACATCTTACCCATATTGAGTCTTCCTGTTTGTAAGCACGCATAGCTCCCCTTTAAAGTCTCTTAAAAATGACTTCCAAGAGGTTTTATAATGTTCTCCACAAAATATTGGGTTGTCAGAAAAGTCATGACATATTTTTTCTGTTTTTCGTTGTGAAAATGCGTCATGACTTTTCCGACAACCAAATACCTGTAAATGAATTACACATTCTAACAGTTTGTTGTGGGTTACAGAAACTCAGTTGATTTTTGTGTATTCTTATATCAAGCAGCCTTGCTGAATTATTTCTATTCATTTGTATTTTATTTTGACTTTCAAAAAACTTTTTATTTAGGAGTAATTTTAGATTTACAGAAGGGTTACAAAGATTTTACAGGGGGTCTCCGTGTACCCTGCACCCAGCTCTCCCTAAGGTTAATTTCTTACATAACTGTGGCACTTTTGCCAAAACTAAAAAACTGATGCTGGTACAGTACTTTAAACTACAGACTTTATTTGGATTTCACCCCTTTTTCCACTAATGTCCCTTTTCTATGCCAGAATCTAATCTAGAATAGCACGTTGCATTTAGTCTCTTGATTTTTAATGTAGAAAATTGTACCATCTGCAAAGAATAATAGTTTTGTCTCTTAGCTACCGTGTGCATGTGCGTGTGCGTGTGGTGGCTGTTAGGTGTGTATATGTACACACACCGTCCTGCACTGGTGTGGACTGGCCACTCTTTTCCAGGCTCTCCCTCTGCCCGTAAATGTTGGCGCTCCCAGGATTCTGTCCTTTGCCCATTAATGCTCGGCTGCTGCACACTCTTGGGGTGGGGGTGGGGGCGGGGGGGCATGTCTCAACCATTGTGTATTTCCCTGTGTGGCTTAGGTGCAGCCTTGTGCCCAAGGCAGCCAGTCTGCTACGATCACCAGATCGTTCTTTCTAGCAGGGATTTCTTTTGAGCTGGCTGTCTTCTGGAAAGCTCTATCTGGATTTTCCACAGACTTTCAATGTGTCTTAAGGGGACATACCTCACCTTTTGCTCCTGCCAACTTGTCACTCCTGCATTTCCTGCCTCAACAGTCTCCCAGTTACCCAAGACGGAGAGAAACCTGGACTCGTCCTGACCCCTCCCTCCCGCCCATCCTCCCTCCTCCCTATCTCCATCCTGTCACCAGTCCTGTTCATTGTTTTCTTTCTCACTCATTTACTCCATCCCAGCTGTTTCACTAAATGCTGTCATTCCTCCATCCCTTGCCACACATCAGGCGCCTTCACATGGTATTCAGGGCCCCGTGGTGCCCCCTGACCCCTCCCACCCTCATTCTGGGCTCATCACACCTGAGTCCCTCATGGCCCCTGGAGGAGCCGTGCTTCCTCGCCCTTTCTGCTTTGGAACTTATACACATAAGGATGCTTTTGGTTGTTGTTCCTACGCTTTCTTTTTCTGACAAACGCCTGCCGATTTTCAGTCTCCATTCAGTGGCCACTGCTTATCTAGGAAAGCTTTGGTCTCCTCGGCTGGGTTAGGCTTACCACCAGGTGCTCTCAAGGTAGCTCGTGTCTGTTTCTCTGCCGGCGCTTACAGCACTGAGCCTGCTTAGTTATTTATCTGGTTAGCAGCCCTCTTCTCCTCGACAATACTGTGTGTTCTTCAGGGTCAAAGACCGATGCTTCCCATCGCTAAGCACACCTAGCACCTAGCTGTTACTAATTCATGTTTATTGAATGAATAAATGCATTCACTGTTCTTGGAAACCCTGACTTGACTGTTTCCAAAAATCATGTACAGTAAAACCTTGGACTGCGAGTAACTTGGTTTGCGAGTGTTCCGCAAGACGAGCAAACATTTCTAATACATTTTAAGTTCGTAAATGAGCAATGTTTTGCAATACGAGTAGTTTCTTTCTGGAATGAATTATGCTCGCAAACCAAGGTATTACTGTATATATTTTTAACCAGGAACAAACTTCTGTAGTCAGCTTATTTATATGTAAGTGAGGTGGGTGCACTGGACAATTTCTCATGTCCTTCACAGCTCCTACAAACTGTTATTTATTATGATTTGAAGATGTAGCATGCTTGAGCATATTCAAAAGAAAATGATGCAAATTCTGGAGGAAATTCCAAAATGGGACTTCCAAAGTATTTTGAGAAATGGTAGTAACACTGAAATAATAATTTGGCTTTTTGGTTGTATTGCATAACTAAATGTGTCACGTGCTAATGATCTGAGCACTTGAACAGGATGGGTTTCCTGATGGTGATCAGAGTTTCTGTTCCTTTGCTTACATGTCTGAATCATTTTAGAGAGGCTGTGTCGATTCTCCTTTGCTGAAGATTTTCAAGTAAAAGTTAGACAACTAGGTCTTGTGGGTATTGCAGATGGGATGGGATTTAAAATGTAACTGTAATGATGGGACTGATTGACCACTGAGCTATTGCCTAATGATGAGATTATTCAGTTTTGTCGTTGACAGCTTTTGTTTTTATTCTACAATAGAAAAGTTGAATTTAAATCGGATAACACACTATTTTTTTCACTTTTATCTCTTAGTGGATTTAATATCAACATTAGAAAGCCACCAGAAGTCTGTGTTTATTAAAATTGTTGACTTTTGTGCATCCACAAAGTAAGTATAGTGGGGCTGGCAGAAATGACCTAGGTCAAATCAGTGTCCGCTGTCCAATTTAGAAAGGCGTTTTTAGTGTAATCTTTTTTTTTTAATTTTGAAAACTTTTAAAATGTAAAATATAACATACATACAGAAAACCACATAAAACAAATCTGTGCTTTAATTAATTGCTACCAGGTGAACAATCTTGGAACTGTCACTCAGGTCAGAAGACAGAGCTTGGCCAGCCGCCCCGAAGCCTCTCCATGTGCCCTGTCCCAAGCACAGCCCCTGCCTCCCCAGTAGAAGTTTCCAGGTTTTCATTTTAATCACTTCTTTGCATTTTTAATGGTTTCCTCACATCTCTAGGCATCCTTAACTATTCTGCTTTAGTTGTACCTTCTAAGATATGCGAATTTTAAGCCTTGTTTGGGTCTCAGGTCCTCCTCCCATCCTGTTTCTCCCTGGTTATTGAGGGCTGAGGAAATTGGATTACTGGACCTGTGGAGTGTCTCAGGCTGGACTTTGCTGATGGCTCTGGCTGCTAGGACTTGGCTGTGTAGAACAAGTGTGGCTGCTTCAGGCCTCAGTCCTGGAATGAATGACGTCCTACCTGGAACGCCATCCATGTCCCCTTGTCTCCCTGCCTGCACCTTGTTCACGAGACTGTCTCCTACCTGTCCTTCTAGAGCTTAGCTCAGACCTCACACCTCCAAGGAAGAGTCCCTTACTTTCCATCTGATAATCGAGCCATCCTTTCCTGTCGTCTCCTAGCACCTGTCACCTCTAGCATGACACTGAGGACATGGCTGCAGTTGATTCTTTGCTTGTTTTTCTCTTGCTGAGAGGCTTCCATCCATTAAAACTTCGCTAGACCCTTCTGTGCCTGGCAGCGTGCTAATGCACGGGATACAGACGGGGACAAGGGACAGCTCCCTGCCCCCAAGAAGCTCACAGGCAGGGAGGGACAGACAAGTATGGTGCAAAGTGTTCCGAGCGGAGGAAGCAGGCTGATAGGAGAGCGTGGACAAGAGGCCTCCCGTCCTAAACTGAGGGCAGGGCAGGAGGGACTGACCACTGGTCTCCCAGAGGAGGTGTGTGGGCACCTACTAGACAGAAAACGGTGAGTTCTATTCCATAGTCACTTACTGGGCTCTTTTAGGTGACAAGCCTCATATTAATATCCTGTATAAAATACCCTTTTTCCCCTTTTTTTGATAGCTATGGCAGATAACTTTTCAAGTGTATAACTAAAAAGCTGATTGGAAGTGTTAAAGGAAGGGTTAATGTGCATAGAATGGGGAAAACCAGGCTGTAACATTTATCTAAGTATAAAAATAGAAATATTTTTCTATTTCCGAAAACTAAGCCGAGGGTAATAGATTCCCTGGTTAGGCCGAGAAAGGAATGGATCCTTTTTGTGGTTCAGAAGAGCTGATGGTTACATCACCCTCCATTTTGTCAGAACAGAATTTTCCTAGCTTGTCTGTTCATTATATTGTTTAATTTCCTGAGAAAGTAGACATTTTTACAATGTACTGTTTATGTGGAAATTTAATATAACTTCATTCTCTACTTGAAGTACTTAATATTTAAAACTACTCCTTTAAGAAAACCCTCTCCCTCAGCAAATGAAATATGTCTTTCGCTTAGTGCATTTGCTGTCGTAAGATCCAATGGCTTTGCTGTGTCATCTTCTAAATCTCAAGTACAATTATTTTATGGTATCTTTCCTCCCCATGAAGCCAGTCCAACATGGCACAGTGACAACTGAAAGGCTAACTTGAATGTAACTGGATTTAATTTCACTGGACTGGACTGTCCAGTATCCTTGTACTGGCTGAGATTTCACATTGTATAGACTCGCACACTGTTTCAAGGCTTCTATCTGGAACTTTAATTCAGCTCTTAGACCTGTTATGGACTGAATGACCCGCCCCCCACATTTATATGTTGAAATTCTAACCCCCATTGTGATGGTGTTAGGAGTTGGGGCCTTTGGGAGGTGATGCGGTCATGAGGATAGAGACTCCTGAGTAGGATCAGTGTCCTCATAAAAGAAACCCACAGAGCTCCCAGCCCCCTCCACCTTGTAGCCCCTTCTCCGTGAGGATACATGGAGAACACAGCTGTGTGCAAACCAGGAAGAGTGCCCTCACCAGACCCCAAATCTAACAGCGCCTTGATCTTTCATTCCTCAGCATCCAGAGCTGTGAGAAATAAATGTTTGTTGCTTAAGTCATTGCGTCTAGGGTACTTTTGTTACAGCAGCCAAAATGGTCTAAATAATACTCTTCAATACATTACTACCTAAACTTAACCCTAAATGCCCAATGAGCTGCCTTTGGTTACTTTCTGTTCTTTAATAACCCAAACTACTTTTTATTAGAGTTTCAAATATATATACAGAAATAGAAGGACCAGCACAATGAACCCCATGTACCCCTTCCCCAGCTTCAGCAGTTATCGTCCCATGACTGATTTGTTTCATCTATACCTCCGCTAGCTCTTTCTCCCCCTCCATACAAAATCTTGTACATGAATGTGCATAGCAGCATTAATCGTAATAGCCAAAAATTGGAAACAAACCAAAGGTCCATTAACAAATCAAATGTGGTCTGTCTAGTCAATGAAATGCTATTGGGCAGTAAAAGGACTGAAGTGCTAATCCACACTACAACGTGGATGGATCTTGAAAGCATGATGCTGAGTGAAAGAGGTCAGTCACAAGAGCCCACATATTGTATGAGCCTGTATGTGAAAAATCCAGAATAGGCAAATCTGTAGACAGGCTGCAGATTAGTGGTAACCTGGGGTTGGGGATGGTGGTACTGGGCACCGGGGAGCTGAGTGCCAAACGGTTTGTGAGGACGAAAATGTTCTGAAATTAATTGTGGTGATGGTTGCACAAGTCTGTGAATTTACCAAAAACCACTGAATTGTATGTACACTTTAAATGCATTGTATCATATGTGAATTATATCTCAGACTGTTAAAAAAAAATGTCAGGTCAAGATGGTTGATAATGTCATTCATATATTTCATATTCTTACTGGTTTATTTCCTTGGTCAATTTTTGCTTCAGATATTTTAGAGTTCTGTTATTCAGAGCTACACATTTAAGATTCTTATGTCTTCTTGATATAACCCTGTTCCTCTCTAGTTATACTGCCTGCCTTGAAGGCCATCTCATTTGATATTAATATAGCGATACCAGCATTTTATACTTAGGGTGTGCATTTAATATTTTTCTACACTTTTACTTTCAACTTGCCTGTATGTTTGTATTTTAAGCACTTTTCCTGCAAACAACAAAGTTGCTGTGTAAATTTGGCCCCAGAACCTGTTTTTTTAGGTAACGTGTTAGCCAAAGTACATTTTGGGGAATGCTGTTCTAGGCAAAAGAATGCAAATTAGAAACTTGCAAGAACAAAATAGAAATGTTTAACTTCATTTTTATTTGAATTAATTATGTGTCCATGTGGCATTATCATTACAATCATGTAATACCTATTTTTCATTTTCCTCGCACTGTTTAATATTGATAACATACTGTAACAGATAGGCCATCCTCTTCAGGGTCTTAGGTTCTGAAAATCTTTTATCACACTGTCTACACAAATTAAGCAGAAGCATTTTGTTTTTCTACTAGATAGATATTTGTAAAAATATAAATCCCTCCATAAAAAAGACAAATGCATAGGTACTATAGTGGAGGGGAAACTAGAAGATGTGTTGAAACTCAAGGAAATACAAACCAAAAATAATAGTGAGCAATTTGATTACTTTTTATTTATGAAGAATTGGTTAAAAATAGTTTTTAAAGAGTTTAAACTTAGGCAGTGGCATGGAAATTCTCACAAGTGATTTACATTTTTCTGTACTCTTAAAATAACTTTAAAAAAAATTAAGCAGTTAAGAGGGCCAAGTGGAGGCTAATTATACATAAAAGGAAAAAACGTCTCCGTCACTCCTCTCTGCTCCCTGACACTGGGGTGAGAGGGCTCAGGGGCCTTCACGCTGTAGTGAATCTGTAACTCATCCTGATAGAATTGGACGACTGTCCCCGAGCAGTCTTCCAGAGTGGATTACCTGTTTGCTCAGATGTCTGTTTCTTTCTGTTGCATAAATGTGTACATGACTCCTTTTTCTAAGATGTTACAAAGGTCACTTTTTTCCCCATTGCTTCTAGTCAAACTCCAACTTCAAGCAGAAGAGAGAGGGGTTGTGTCTATCAAAGGAGTGTGTGCGAACCGCTATCTCGCTATGAAGGAAGACGGGAGGTTACTGGCTTCTGTAAGTAACACTCTGCTCTACAGGTTTTTCCTTTGTGAGCTGCTATTACTGTTACTGTACTACTGTTGGTATGCATTAAGTCTTCACTAAGGGTTTTACAAGTACGATATCATTTAATCTCCATATTCACCCTGTAAAATAAAGTATTATGCTCTTTATTTCACACGTGCAGAAACTGAAATTTTGAGGGAGTAGTAAAGTAACCAAGGAAACTGACTCGCGCCCTGGGTGGGACCCGGGGCAGCGTGGACTCCAGCCATGAGCACTAATTAATTCACTGCCTTTTCTTGCCTTTTCTGCAAAGCTATTAAACCACCCGTTCGTAAAGCAATTCCTTGTATTGTGTGGTTGTTTGAAGATCAGTGGGATGGACACGTAAACTTTTGGGTGTTCATTTTGCCGTTTCTCCTTTCAGATTTGACATACTGAATGCTTGCAGTGTAGCATATGAGCTGAGAATGTGGGCTCTCGACCTCGGTGCAAATACTAACTGTGCCACGCGGGAGCCACGTGTTCCTGGGTGAATTATGGGAGCCAGTTCCCTTCCCTGTAAAGTGGAGGCACCAGTGAGCCTGTCCCATAGGATCTGGGTGAGGACTAAATCAGGTCATTTATATCAAGTGCCAGAATGAGGTCTAGCACATCATAGGTCCTGAAGTGGCTACTTCCTCCTCACGTTACTTCCCATTTGTATACAAGGCCATTTAGGACAGGGACCTGTTTCTCTCTCTCTCCCTCCTTCCCTCCCTCCCTCNTCTCTCTCTCTCTCTCTCTCTCTCCCCCCCCTCCCTCTCTCTCCCTCCACTTTTTATCAAAGTGAGTCAAGGTCCTTGCTCCAGGGCCCCATCCTTCCCACCAACGCAGGCTCCCCAACAGCTTCACCTTTACTGTTAGAGCCAGACTGCATGTCAGTTGAGCAGACAGTGTGTGGGGACTGGCGCAGGGAATAAAGCAGCATAGAGGACGTGGACCCCACTTCTGTCTTATTGGGGGAGCAGATAGGACATGTGCCTCTGTGTGTGTGTGTGTGTGTGTGTGTGTACATGTGTGTACACAAATGCAAACCGCAGCTATAATAGCAATACCCGCAGCCAGTGCTGGCCTCTCTATAACTTGCCCCACAGAGGGGATCTGATAGTACAGAGCAGCGGTGATGTTTGGAGCTAAATGAATCGTTTTTGAAATTTTTTTCTGAGTGAGAACCTTTGGATTTCTGAACGTACTGAAACAGATTTACAGAGAAAAAGAATATTTCAACCATTGGATTGATCATCTGACAAAGATATATTTATGCTGATATTATTGATTGGTATCGTTTTTGCAGGATAAATGACAAGTTTGGGTGTAGTGGCTCTCTCTGTTTTTGTTACTGAATAAATTTTAAAATCCTCTTCAAGAATAGCCCATTCTTACTGGATATACAGTGTGCTACATGCTCTACTGGCATCAGGGTTATAAAACTGAATCCAGGATGGTCTGCGCCCTTCCTGAGTCACAGTCCTGGGGAGTCAGAAGGGTAAGCATGTGTGATGATGTGTAAGGGTTTGGATGGTTTCTGCTCTATCATGCATACATGCATAGTAATGTAGGAAAGGAAGTAAGAAGTATTGTGATATAGGAATCTAGATTGGGGAAGATGACCTGTAGGTAGTGTGCATCACACATAGAGTGCAAAGAACTATGGTTTCTGCAGCTGCTGGAGAGGAAAGGGGTCAGCAGGCAGTCTGGGAGCAGCAGGAGTGGAGATGAGGCTGGAGATGATTCTAGGACATCGAACCTGCAAAGGCACGTGTGCAGGAAGCTTACTGGGTGTGTCTCCAGAGTTATAAGTAATGCACCACTGTGAGAGCATAAGGTGTGCAGGGATTACAAGGTGGAAGGGAAGAGAGATGGCTGGAGAGATAGGTAGACTGCCCGCTACCTGCAAGGTGCCTTCTAACCTTGCAGCTACAAGCAGTGGAAGCCACGAAGAGTTCTAAGAGACACACTCAGATTTGAATTTGAGAAAGATCTCGCCAGCAGCAGTGTACCGGATGGCTTTTAGGGGCCAAGACTGGTGGAGAGAGACAGTGCAAGCAAGTGGTGATGAGAGCCTGGTGGTAATGGGGCAGAGAGGTTGTGTCGAGTGCTAGCACTTAAGATGGTTTATATTTAGGAGTGCAGCAGAGGGAAAAGTCAAAGGCTCCTAGGGTTCGGGTTTGGATGAAAAAGGGGACCGAGGAAAAGCACAAGTTCTGGGAAAAGGTAATACCGGTTCAAATGTAGACCAATCTAACTCGAGTTGCCTAAGAGACGTTCAGGTGAATATGTCCACTACATAGTTGGAATTATGGGTCTGGAGCTTAGAGGAGATGTCTGTGTTCATGTCCAGGTTTGGGTGTCATCAGCATAGAGGTGGTAGTAAATTAGAGGAATGGGGGAGGTTTCCTCGGTGAAAAGGTTGACTTTTCAGCCCTGAAAGGTTGACTACTTGGGACTTTAACTTCTTCGACTGTTCTTGTCTTTCTTACTACCAGTCTGCTGTCAACTCAAAGGGTGATGTCATACTTTGGGACTCTACCACAGTAGCATTTTAAATATTTCCAGGACAGTGAATCAGTGGGTAATTTTGGATGACCTTGATTTTATAGACAGGAAGAGGGGTTTACCCCTACTCTTCTCACCTCAGGATGTGACAAATCACAGTGTGAATCACTATGGCTTCTGCAGTTGTGTTGGTTTGGCTACTGTCAGACAGGGAAAGTGGTGGAGAGAAAAAAAGGGATGCACAGATTGGCTTCTGTCGTAAGTAACTATGGACCACACTAGTCAAATGGTTTTTAAAGCCCTGGCCTTTTCTAGGTCTTAACCTGGCCCAGTGAGTGATTCAAGATTGTTTTCCACTCAAATTAGAAAACCCAGTAACCTGGTAATCCTGGTGGCCCTGTAAGATAGCATTGGAGGGGCTTTTATCTCGAGAACGTAGTCTGGAATGTAGGTACGTCTCTAATGATGAAAAAGATCTATAGTCAAAAGTGAAAACAGAAAGCTACTCTATTTAAAGTGCATCTCTGAAACTCCTGGGGTTCATAAAAGAGGGGATGAATTCAAGACAATAGACCCAAAAACTGAACTGTCTTCTCATTCTTACAGAATTCCCTACAAGTTAGAGCTCAGAGAATTCTGACCTCTTTTCTTGGTAAATAGACATTAAGCTTCCCAAACTGTTGATTCTGTACCATCCGAAGCATTAAGTGCTCTGAAATAAACTGTTACCTCATTTCTTCCTTAGCTAAACAGGACCTTTCACAAGGTTAAGGTCATGGCATCTGACTTAGTCTTAATTGTGTTTCTCTTTCCTTGGATGCGTTAATTCTTCCCGATAGAGTAAGAGGTAATTTAGCAATGCTTAGAAATCTATCAGACTTTTCTGTGAGGACAAAGCTACAGCTGTCCCACATCAATGGCAAAGCCAGGATTTATCAGCTTCCTTTGAGGAATGGCATCAGCCAAGACCCAGTTGTTCCAGCTCCCATCATAGGATCTATTCTGCCAAGTTCACGAGTTAATCTCTAATCTTACCACGCGATTTGTATGGCTCGCTGCCATGCCTTTTCAGCAGCTGTCACCTCTCTTTCACATTAGTCAGGGTGGGCTGTATCCATCTTCAGATGAGAAAGGAACCATCCACACCTCAAAACCAAGGAGGTGTGTTGGTGGTTCAGTAAGTGGCATATTTCTCTCTGAGTCAGACCCAGAGGCACTGAGCTGTCAACAGTGACAACTTCTGGTATGATCCAGTGTTGGACCAGTAGCCATCATTTGGGGAAGGAGACGCTGCTTATAACCTGGAGAACCCGGGCTTCTGAGCTTGGACTTGCTGGACGCATTCTTCTTACCATTCTTCTTCCCCCGGCCCTATTCCACACTGCCGTGTTAAGGACACATCCCTGGGCTCTTCTGCATTTTACCCTGCGTGGGAGTCCCACAGTGATTTGTAGAACGTTCCAGTTTCCCCTCAGAAAGAAGAGTGCTTTGGACACATAACACATCTTGCTTTCTAAGTGACGCTAGGTAGATTACTACCAGTTGAGAGTATGAAAAAAAGACAAGTTGTGCACCATTTTTTTCTCCGACACCTTCCCCTATTAATGGTACAAATGCATTCAGGCTAAGGATTTCTCACCATTTGAAAACATTTCTTAAGGGTCTTTCTCCCCCCCTCCCCCCACCTTTCAAAGCTATAAGATACAAAAGTTCAAAGAGTAACTATATTTAACTACCAAAGCCTATATTTGGAGGCAGACATCCAGTCGTTCTTTAATACATAACAGACTCCTTATTCCATTCCAGGGCAGGATACATTTTGTTGCTATGAGCAACAGAAGTCCAGAACAAATATTAGGATTTCTTAAGTGTTCACAAAATTGAAGTAGAATTTTTAAAAATTATATAAAGTGAGGTTAATTATAGTTTTAACTTTAAATCACGAAACAATCTCAATTGGCATCAGTATGAAAAAATTTGCCTGGTCTTCATCTGCTAGAAAGTCGCCCATTGTTTTCTATAAAAGGCTATATAGATCATGGTAACTGAGCAAAATATCTCAGTAAGTATTTGAGTGGGTATAACTTGTGTTAATCCATAATAGTGAACTATGAAAAAGTATTTATATTCTCTGAGGATATGCACTTAATTACTGTAAAAGTAAAGTACTTTTTTACCAATTGAATAACTTTCTTAGTTGATGGGCCTTTGCAAAAATAGGAAACCTAGACACAAAGTAAAGGAGAGAAAACAGATTTTTGAGGGCTCAGTTATCCAGATTGACAATATATACTGGTCAAATTTGTCAGAAAAATACAACAATTAAAGAGGAATGTATATCATTTTAAAATGATAAAATATAAGTAAATGCAAACGTTACTGCCTAATAAGAATTATTGTTTCTCCTAGAAACCAAACATAAAATTTTACATAACCTACATATATATTACAAAATTAAGATCACATTTACTTTTAACTTTTCACAATTTGTAAGTTTTATTTTGTTCTGAACTAGTCAACACTGATACTTACATCATGTCTGTTTTCAATTCTCAGAAGTGGTGTAAGCAAAAGCGTTTTTGGATTCATGTTGAGCAAACTCCCTCCTAAGCCAAACTGCAAAATCAAAGTACTGTAAAAGAATAAACAATCCAAAAAACAGAGCATGGGGAAATGGCCATAAGGTTCAAATCTGATAGTCAGTAGTGGACGAGAACGGTGAAGCCAGCGGCCCAGGAGAGATGGGGGGCGTGGGGCGTAGAGTTACACCCCCGCTTCCGTACGGTATTCTTTGTAAGTCTCTCTCTGTACACAGTCCACATTTTAAGGGATGTGGGGCTCCATCTCCTTGAGGAGGGAGCATCTACATAAATTATTTGGAATTCTTTTGTGTGAGAAATTTGTTCTCCATTTATTTCATTTTTTTTATTGTTAGTTTCAAGTGTACAGAACAATGCATGTTACCCTTTTCACCCTCACAAAGTAACAACCCCCCTCCCCCATCACTGCCTTCCCACCCCCGATATCATGCTTATCTATTACAATTCCATTGACTCCATTCCCACTCTCTACTCCATGTCCCATGACTATATGTGTATATATATAATTACAGTTGACATACATTATTATTCAACATCAGCTTCAGAAATACAGCGCGGTGGTCAGGCCTCTACACCGACTATGAAGTGGTCTCCCCAACAGGACATGAGTTCATTTGGCCCCCTAAGAAATATTTACAACATTATTGATTATATTCCTCAGACTGTCTTTTTCTATCCCTGAGGCCATATTGCAATTACCAATTTGTATTGTCTCATCCATTTATTTCTTTATTCAGTCATTCATACCAGCATATACTCATGGGTGTTTATGTTATACGTCGGGTCATAATCCAGTATGTGTTATTTATTTTGTTGTTCAGGTTGTCCCAGCCGTAGCCGTTGGGAGCTTTTTCATTTGGCTCCCGGCCCCCTTTGACATGCCCCATCAGCGTGGGGTTTTTGAACACGTCCTCATTTTAGGGCCTACAAGACCCTCCAGGCTCAGTGTGTACATCCCTCCTCCAGCCTAGGATGAGCCAGATCCCTAAGGAGCCTTGGTTGCTTTCACTGGAAAACTGGATGCTGGGTGTGCTTTTTGCCACTGAGGTGTGTTTCCTTCTAGGCCTGTCACCCACCAGAGCAAGAAATGCGGGTATCTGCTCCGCTGGGGATACACACATACCTGCAAATACAGGAAGCTAAACATGAGCACATGCTGTGTGGCCAGCCCTAAGCCACCAGGATTGCACGGGTCATTTTAGCCGTCCTCCGCCCCCTTACTTGTCCGTAACCTCTAACAGTGAGAAACCTGCTTCCCACCATCTCCTTGGATCAGTTTGTCCATATGTATTCATATCTCACATTACTTTCCTTTCGAAATTTCAAAGTAAATTAAATCCCTAGACGAAAATAAGCCGAAGTATTTAAAATGTTGACAATGCTTTTTCAAACTCTTGGATTCTTCCCTATTCCGACACTCCTACAAGGGGTCAAACTATCAGCACCGTCTGTAAACGCATCAGCGTCACTGTCTTTGCTGCCAACAGGTGGTCCCGGGCCCCTTGCGAAGGACGCAGAACCTCACGTGTGCCCACTGCTCACGCGCAGGGCTGTGCCCCTCTGATACGTGCATGTGCACGCTCCTGTGGGTTCCATACCTCCTGGAACTGAGAATGATGGCTTATTATTCTTCTCAACTATCGTAACTCAACACACTTTCTAGCATTCCATGTTAATTACTTTAAAACTTCCAGTTCTCTGGTTATTAGCATTAGCAAGAGGGAAAGAGGGCTACGTGACATGCCCGTTGCGTAGTTCTGCTCTTTAAATTCCTTATCTCTGTTAGAATGTCTAATAGTCATCCGAAACCCACCATGTTTAAAACTGAATTCCTATTCAGTCCCTGTGAGTCCCCTCGCATAGCCTTCCCCATCTCAGTAAGTCCTCATTTGGGAACACAAACTTCAGTGCCATCCTGGATTAGTTTGTCGCCCTGCACGCCCGATCTGTCAGGGAACCCTATGGACTCCACCTGCAGAATCTATCCAGAAGCAGACAGCTGCTCCCCATCCCTGCTGCCACTGCTGTGGGCCACGTCTCCCCTGAGACCCCGAGCAAGCCTCTAACTGGTGGCTCTAATGGAGGTGTCTGCCTTTGGCCCAGTGTGGTCTTGGCAGCCAGAGCAGCCCTGGAAAAACATGTCAGATCATGCCACTTTTCTATTCGAAAGCCTACAATGTGGCCTTTTATTTTCTCAGTAGGAGCCAAAATACGTACAATAGCTTTCAATCTCCTATCTCATTTCCCCTCGGCCGTCGTGTCCTGCTTCCCTCCCCTTCAAGCCCTCTCTGCGTGCACTCTGGCCTCCGTGCTGCCCCCACACACGCCAGGCCTGACCCTGCTGTAGGGCCTCGGCACTGGCTGTCTCCTGTCTGCTAAAAATGCCCTTCTTTCATAGCTGGGTGGTTAACTCCTTCACCTCCAAGTAGCTGCTCAAATGTCACTTTCTCAGCGGCACCTCCTGCGATCTAATCGCTACCCATCACTCCTACTGCCAAGCCCTCTCATCCTACTGTTTTCCTTTACTCTGTAGGATTTATCATTTGAGCACACAAGTGAGCACACACTGCTTACTGCTTACTGCATGTCGCCCCCAGCTTGTTCTGAGCAGCATAAAGGCACGTGTGCTTGTTCAGTGTGGCCACTGATCAATCCCAGTGCCTGGAAGACAAAGACGCATGTTAAATGAATAGATGCATTATTGAACTGTGTGCTTCCCCAAATTCTTCTTAAGTTAACCAAAAAAGTAAAGGAAACTGTAATTTGATGAAAAGGTGTCAGATAGATACATGGGCAAAGGGTGTCTACAGTTTAAAATAAGTGACTGAGAGCACCAACTTTAGAGTCCTTACTCCTGAGTAGGTGATAATGACGTCACTGGACTGTTGTGCTATTTAGATAGAATGATGTACAGGAAAGCCATCAGTAACTGTGAGTGAAGAGAGTTCCCGGCTCATGGCCTCTCTAAATTAAGGCTTGAAGGCAAGGTACCATGGTCATAAGCCATTAGAAGCTACTTATCCACTTCCTCAGCGATGTCACTTCATCCAAGACCCCCTTTTTTCTTAAGTTTGAAATGGTGAGAAGTTAAACATTGGGGACAGGAAAAAAGCTCTGTAAATGTTTATCAAGGTTAATGAAACTTATATTGCATCCATTTTTTAACAAGAATGTTAAAATCACAGTCACAGAAGACAATTTGTAAACTGATAAAGGAGAGAATTGAAAATTGTACTTATATGGGCCTGTTAAATGCATCTTTTTCTTGAGAGCTGAATTTTGGCCCTGCGACCCATTAAAAATAGAATGCAGTTTGTTTTCAAGCGCATAGCAGTTGTTTAGTAAACTTACTTGTCTGAGCCCCTGGCACAGATGCAGGCTTTCCTTGCCTCCCATTTTTGTGAAGGTACAAGTAACCTCTGTAAGAAACAATTTGTGAGTTCCATGATGCGGTGTCCACTTAATCCCTGTACTGTTTCTTTTCTCTGAAATCGTAGGCACTGGCAGAGAAGGCAAATATTATTGGCATGGCACGTATCCCCATAGGCCAGGCATGTAGGGAGTGCCAACTAGCAAGGTGGGGCGCCCTGGAAGTTGACAGAGCACCAAACAATGAGCGTGTCAGTGCCCTGATGACGAGCGGTGTGGGTGAGGGCCGCTCCGGGGAGTTGGCCTGTGCCGCTCTGAAAGGACATTTTGTATTACCTTTATGATGGCTATGGCTTTTCCTTTTACCCTTTACTTCCTGTCGCTTTTCTACTCCCGATCTTAAACCCAGAATAGGGAAAGAGGAAGATTTTTATCAGTGGCGCTGAACAATGACAAAAATAACCAAGGCTAACCTGAATCAATACAGGAAGCCGCCTACATTCCACCAGAGGGCGTGTGGGGCGTGGGCTGTGGACGGCCCACGTCACTCGCGGTGCACGTGTTCAACGGCGACCACCTCTGACTTTCTGACCACACAGGCCAGGCCAGGTGTCACAGAGCTGGGTCCTTGTGCAGTGGGCGCTTCTCTACGAGGCTGCCTGGGACTCATTTGCATCAGAAAGACAAGTTGCTTCATTAGTAATTTGTTGAAAAAAATGAGCAAAGTATATATGTTTTTATATTTCAGTTTTAAATAGTTCAGCTAACAATGGTGAAAACGTTAAACCGAGAGAATGTGCAGTAACAGTCTCATCTCTGATGAGACCGACCCCAGACCTACTGCCCTGCCCTCACCCTGAGCCTCCTGTCCACTGCAAGGGCTCTCTCAGCCCTGTTCATGCCAGTTCTCAATGCCGCCAGCTCTTTTCATTGTTTTTGCTTATTGATTTATGCTTTTCTGATGGTTTGTGCCATTGTTTAGTTTATCTTGGAACCAAGGAATCTGAGGAACGATTCATTCTTCTGAGTGCAGGTTTCCCAATCCTGAAGTTTCCTAGATTAGAGTGTATAGGCATAGGGTATGTCTATGTATTGAGTATATGGACACAAAACGATGCGTTTGTGCCATAGTTCTATGTGTACACATTGTATTCATATGTGGGAATATAAACATGTAAAATTATGTGGTTTTCTATATGAGTTTCTCATTTCATCACCTATCTATAATTGCATTATGAAAAGTAAATGATTTTTCCTTTCTCCCCTTAAAGTGAATAAGACATTTGTTGATTCCCCTACCCCCACTCCCCAGAGGTCAGTAAGTATCATCAGTGCCACCCTGTGAAGTTGATTTGTGAACATGTATCTGAAATAATGTGGCAGCCTATTAGACTTGGTTACTTGGAATAGTATTTCCAGATTTAACTATCTGTAAAGCTCGCTATCGCCTCCCCCATAAATAGCTGGATTGAAATAAAAAGGTGGCATAGTTTTCCCTCCCATACGAAACTGCCAGAATCTGTGAGTGTTTTGAGAATGCCAATCATGTGTAATGTTCCAATACCATTTGGGGTATATATTGGGTTGTTGGAAAAGTCATGACGCATTTTTGCAATGAAAAACAGAAAAAATATGTCATGACTTTTCCAACAACCCAATACATTGGCTGTTTTCTGTACAATATTCTTTTATGCCTTAGAAACATTGACTACAAAAAACAGTGTTCACACCACCCTTCTCCTTCTCTGTGGGAAGGTTGCCCTTCCAGCACTGTTTCACTGGAGAGTACGGTGACCCCTGACTGTCCCTGGACTGGGAGGAGGACCATACGTACCTGATTGGAAGTCACAGCTTTGGTTTCCCCGAGTGCGGTGTGCTTCTTGGTGTCCCTCTTTGTGGGACCCTGAAAGCCATGTTCATGGCGATTTCAGGTCTGAGCCGCTGTGCCTCCTAGCCCATCGGTGCCCTGGCTGCCCTACACCTGATCTGCCGGCACCCTTCTGCCGCGCTGGAGCGTGTCCGTCTTGCTGGCTGCACTGTCCTGCGGAGCCCAAGGGCACTGCTGCTGGGCAAGCAGAGTGGGCAGGGAGCTGTCATGGATATTTAATATGGAAAGGATAAAAATAATAATAATAATTACTATCTCTTCCTTTATTTTTCAGAAATGTGTTACGGACGAGTGTTTCTTTTTTGAACGACTGGAATCTAATAACTACAATACTTACCGATCAAGGAAATACTCGAGTTGGTATGTGGCGCTGAAACGAACTGGGCAGTTCAAACTTGGACCCAAAACAGGACCTGGGCAGAAAGCTATACTTTTTCTTCCAATGTCTGCTAAGAGCTGATCTAATGGCAACGCCTGATCTCATTTCACATGGAAGAGAGTGTAGTTCAGAAATGTGGGAGTGAGAGAAAAAGAAAAACGTGTACAGCTCTCTGCTCGGTCTGGAGAACTAGTCAGATAACCTTTTATCTAACAGTAAAATATTTAACCATTGCCTTAGTAAAGAAAAACAAAAATTCCTTCCACCTTTTCAATAGCATTTGCCTTTATCCAGTGAAGCTTACTTAGAGCTACAATCTTTTTCATACATTTGCTTCATTTGAAAAGAAGCTTATGTGCACACTTAACAGATTTTTTCAGGGCACTCACTTACACACATTAGAAAATTAAAGTTAGATATTTAGTTAACCCAAAATGTCCTCTACTCTCATAATATGGCACTCATTAATCCACGTGTACAATTTACTTACAAATTTTAAACATGTAAATATGAATTTAATTCAGCCCTGTCATCGTTTTGTACCTGTCGGGCAGTTCCCTGTGATAGAGTTTATAGAACAAGCCTGTGTAAACCGCCGGAAGTTTTTCGGCGGTCAGGTCGATCTTGTCAAAGCCTTCCCTGGCCCCGTACAGCAGCAGCCGAGCAGCTCTGCTGGTGATGGGGGTGGTGTTTTCGGTCCTGGCCAGCTCGGTGAGCCCCATCCACTCACACCGCAGGCATTCGTGCTGGCAGAAACGGATGGTGAGGGACCGGGGCTGTAGGCGGCAGATGATGTACATGTCCGACTTTCCGAAAGCCCCTGGGTGGGCGTGCTGCTGCCGGATGCTCAGGAGGGACCTGAACTCGGACTCTATACCAGTCTCCTCAAAAACTTCTCGGACTGCTGTGTCTCCTGCATGAGACAGAGATGTGCAGATCAATGGAATCACATTTTTAGAAGTCTGGTCATCGAGGGTTTTCAGTTCATGGAGCATTATCTAAAGGTTCAAAAGCAAAACTTCACCCTAAGCAAGTGAAGTTCTCTGTATAAACTCTCTGCCTTCTGGACCTCCTGAAATACAGAAGTATTTTCTTACCACTGTACATCTAAGAAGCTTTTGAAATAGTGAATATTTCTTTGGCTGCTACTTGAGGGCTTACCCCCCGTATGGTTTGGGGGTTATGTATTTTTAACCTCTTCCTGCTCTGGTTCCCAAAAGTTGAAAACATAGGTCGCAAAGCTGCAGTTAATAGTCCTCCATATTTCTTCATTGTTATCCTGTTCCTGATCATCTGTCAACACTGACTATGTTTGTATATATCAGTACTGAGAAAAGAGATCCCTTCTTATGAAAGTGTAGAATGTACAGAACTCCTGGTGGTGGTGGTGCTGGGGCGGCGGCTGTCAAGCCTCTGTAACCCCCAAGCTGAAATTCTTCTAACCTTTTGCTTCAGCTCCAGCACTTATGCTGTCAGTGGAATTCCACTAGGGGAATTTAGGGCATTTCCTTTGTTTCTTGAGATTCCAGAGAACTTGGACTCAATCCTCCAACACCCAGATGCTGCAGTCACTTCATCAGAAGTTTTCACAACACTTGTCATATGCAGAATTTCATAATACAACAGGGCTTTCACATTTCATAAGGTTGATTTTCCAATAACATGAAAATTTATGGGGCAGGACTTTATTGCCATTAACATATTTTGGTGGTTGCTTTTACTAAATATCCAGATGAAAGCCCTAAATGGGCTTTCTCTAAGGCCGTGATGTGTCATTGTCACCAAAGTGCCTATGAGAAGCCCTTAAAACAGCTGCCTGCCTCGCCCAGCTGGCTGGGAAACATTACAGTTGCACAGAGTTTTGTTCAAATGCCCTTTGGTGCCTCCGTTTTCATGCTTGTCAAAGAGTAAAGTATATGTGTCCTCCCTGTAGTCTTACGGGTGGAGAATAGGCAAGGAAGAGGAAGTCAAGGACACTGTCACCATTCCTGTGTGCTCTGCCATAGACACTTCCCAATTCCCTGGACATGCTCTGGTTTTCTTCCTAAGAAACAGCTCTGGAAACATGCACAGGAAGAGGAGGTGTTCTGAAATGTGAGACATTTGTCTGCCATTTTTAACCACACACCCACTTCCTTTATAGTTGAGGTTTGCCATAGATTACCCATGGTTAGAAATTACATTTTTAAACTAATAACATAAAAGAAAAATTTATGTTAAGAAAAGAAATGTTAACAAGAGAAATAATTTTCAGCCTGGCATATGATACATGTTTGTTAAGTTTGTCAAAGATTGTGGCACTAATCTTAAATTTTACATGTCATTTGCTGATCTCACATAATTATTGTTTAAATGTTTATTCTTTAAATGCTTTGAAAAATAACCCTGGGGGGAGAGGGTGTCCTGTTTAGCATTTAGTACCGCTAACCAAGAGTTGGGCATTTAGAGTCTAGCCTGTTTCTATGTCGTGGAGGCACAGGACGGGCCAGACAGGCCCTTGCTCTGCTCAGCTCTGCAGTTCTGGAGCAGGGCTGCCTGGGTTGTCTGACTTGAATCAGCGTAGCAGTGGCTAGGACTGAAAACTGAAGGGGCAAATAAGTGCTTTTGTCCCCAGGGCATGAGGGAGCCCCCTCAGATGGGAATCTCTTCCCCAGGGAGTCACCAGGAATTTAAAATTTGTATCTGAAGAGAGTGCTTTACTCTGTTGTACCTTTATTATTTTAATGTACTATAAGCTAAACAGAAATAGAACTCACATTTACTGTTTTATACGTTTGAAGAACATAGGAAAAACCAAGAGGGTTATGTTTTTATTTTTGCTGATTGAGAGACAGGTTTAAATAGTGTTTTGTTTAGTTACAGGACAATAATGAAAGGGAGTTTATATTTGTTATTTCTATTTTGTAATATTTAATAATAGGATTAGATGGAAACAAAATAAAATAACAGGAAAAATCATGTAGAATGTCGGTTTTCCTGGTGTTTCCCTCCTACTCGGGTGCACAGAGCTCCGAGCAGTCCCCTGCCCTTCCCCACTACTTACAGGCCCTCCGCCAGGCAGGGCTTCACCCGTCAGTGGTCATGAGATTTTCTAGGAAGGCAACTTCTCTGTTTCTAACCTTGTAGGTACCTGTTACTCTTAGGGAAGTCTATCACGTTAAAGCCTGCGGATTGCATTCCATTTTGCATATGCCCCTCTTAATTTTTTTTAAACACTATGGACAATCGTCTTTATTTACCTAGTACTATCGAAGAATGAAGGATTCCAAATAAATGTGCTTCCCAGTTACCTAGTGTTTCCTACTTATGAGCCAGTATGAATGCTTGCACATTTATGATACCAGTATTCCTAAAGTACATGACATTCCTAAATACAAGGTTTAAAAAAAATAATTCTTGGATGATTTGGCTTCATCATTAAGAAGAATCTGTTACTGAACTGTGTTACAGGACAGAAACGCCCTCATATCGAGTCTTTCAGACCTCTCCTATCAGTTACCGTTTCCAGCTGCTTTCAGGGTTATATCAGTTCTAAGGCAAAGCTTTAATTTATGCCATTCTGTGGGAGGATAGTGAATGCCGACTGTTTTTTTCTTCATTCCACATGGTTGAGGCCTATGTATGATCTCTGGATAGGGGGGTTACTGTGACAACCACAGCTACTTTAAAAAATAGTGAATTCTTAACACCTGGACTTGAAAGGTTCTCAGGACACTTAAACGTAAAATGATATATATTTGGCTTGGAAATGTGTTTCTTCATTTACGTTTAAATATATCGGAAATTCAGAAGATCTATAAAAACTCAAACAAAAAATGTCAATTCATTTGAGAAGGCAAGAGTCAGAAGAGGAAGCTACCAAACCTGTAGACTGCTTTCTGCTCAACACGGATGGGGTAAGGATGTAAACAGAAGTTTGACTAGTTCATGTGTTCTCATATATCACATGAGGATAGTGTAAGGTGATTAGGTGTTCTAGACCAGGGGTCGGCAAACTGAGGCTCGCGAGCCACATGCGGCTCTTTGGGTATGTTCCATCTCAAAAGTTTGCCAACCCCTAGAAGAGCCAATCCTGTCCCTCACAACAATTTAAAAAATATTTGAGAGCCATAAATATATTTTTACATAATCACCATTATGTGAATAATATCCTTTAAAAATTTTATAAGTGAAACTATGATAGTTTTGTTTTCATTTTCAATTTTACTTCAGAGCCACATGTACGTACCCAAAGAGCCGCATGTGGCTCGCGAGGCCCAGGTTGCTGACCCTTGGTGGCTCTTCCGTCTCAAAAGTTTGCCGACCCCTGCTCTAGAGTAAATGGCTTTCTCTTCCAGAACTCACACTACTACCAAATCCTCTTTTATTTCAACAGAAGGCCTAGCAGAGTCTAGGCAAAAGGTCAATCAGAATCTAAACACCAAAATTTGCTATGGATACAGCTGAATGTAGTAAACTAACTTACTGGTTGTTAGGAGTTGGTTATATACTGTGTATAGGGCATTTTAATCTGTGTAACATTTTTAAAAATCAAGTTTCAGGTATATACCTTTTTAAATAAAATATTTAAAGATAATTTAGGAAATTCATATAAATGTTGGCTAAAGAGAACAGGAACATGCATATTGAAGGGAAAGTCATGGATAAATAGTGCTGGTATCAAATGAGTTATCTATTGACTTATTATAATAGTGACTGCATTTGACCCAATGGTGTAAGGAATAGGTTGGAAAACTCAGTTTCTATTCTTTCATCTATTTCCTGTAGAATTTTTAGCTTATTTGCTATTCTTGTCTTCAACATTAGCTCAGTTAAGATGTTTTAAGGAATTCTCTCTCACTTGAGACTTTCTCATCTGAAGCACTTCACTATGTCTTGGCTTTCTGACTATTCAAAATAAAGAGCAGATAAAATGTTCATGAAGAGAAGAATTACATCCCAATGCTCTAATAACTGACTTTATAAATAATATTTATTTCAAAGTTCATTTAATAGTTACTGTTCATCATTATGTGCTGAAATAGCCAAGAATGTGTTTTCTCATAGTTTAATTCCAACAATTTTAGTCATATCCAAAATAACCCTTAATGCCAAACTTTACTGATATAAATCCAAAGCTTCTCATTTTGAAACAAACTGCCGAAGAAGCAGACCTAAACAGAAGAATAGGTGGTATGCTCCTAATGGTATTATTTATACTAATGAAATAAGTATAATCAGCTAATTTTATATCAGCCCTGAAGTAACCTCTGCAATTTTCTGATTTAGTCTGAACCAATTAGAGAATTTAAAATTTTATTCTCAACTATAGAACAAGAAAGTGGACACATGAGTTTCTTCAACATTTTCAAGCCAAATAAAAATCTGTTAAGATACACACCAATATCTTCTCCAGGCTCTGACAGGCCTCCTGGGAGCTTCCACATATTTTTCAACTGCAGTATAAAGTCAGAAAATAAAGTTAACAGGGCTTTATTCACTAACACACATAGAAGATCCAAATAAGTCGCTAAAGTGGTTGAGACTTTATTTTTTGGTAATTGCATGCAAAGTTTTTTTTCGTTCCCCTCCTCCTTTCTTTCTTTTGGGGGGAAACGGGTAACTTATGAAGGTTTTTCCCACTGTCTTCTGCAGGAAGTAGAAGTGGTTTTGTGTGGTTAAAGTGGTGGATTCTGTATGAATGACACAGTAGAGGGAAACATCTACTGAATTTGTGTAACTTAAAAAATTGTGCTGCTAGTTAACTATTAACAAGTAAATAGAGGACTCTTACAAATGCTGCTATAAATAAGTAGAAAATACAGTATAAATTTCATCACTAAAGTATATTTTTAATTTCACATTTATTTTCTGTATTGGGTGTCTAATCAGATATATTAATCTTAAGATTTCTCTTGTTCTGTGTGTTAATGACTATGTAAAACTGTAATTTCTTTTCATGGGTAGTGTGAATAAAATTGATTAAGTCTGTGGGGGTTTTTTGTGTACCTTTTTTTGGTGGGGAGGGGCAAGTGGGAAGAGCTGATCTTGGAATGGAGCTAAACATGGAAAAATTTGATTAAAAATAATTATGAAATGGCGTGGGGCAACGTTTTGATGGCTGACATGGTTCGAGTCCTGTTCTGTCTATCCGTCACCATGACGAACACTGAAGAATGAGGAATCAGGATGCACTCATAAAGGTGCTGCAGCTTGGAGCTGGGACACCTTCTGCTCTTCATTCATAAAAGAAGTTTATGGACCTTGTACTGGTGTGCTTTGTGACCGTCTCATTTCCTGTGCTTCTTAAAGAGTGTGTCACTTCCCAACTATGCTAGGTTGGAGACCGGTGGCATGGTTCCCAGAGTTTCCACAGACTGTTGGTCATGTGGGTACAGAATTCAGGCTTTCCACCCTTCCGTGTCTGGCTCAGACTTGAGATTAATTTATTACGCATGTTTTATTAATGTAGAAATATATCTCTAAGTATATCTCTACATCAAGTCACTCTCTTTGGGATTCCATTTTGAAATGCGTCCAGAAGCTATGTTTCTACAGAAATGAATGTGATCTTTTTTCTGAGAGCATATTAGACTTCACTGCCGTAAATTCTATTTCTAACGAAAGATATAAATGCTTCCCCCAAAACAATGAAAGGTGATTTTTAAAATCTTTACCTCGATTTGACTACAAATAATTGGAGATTGTTGATTAAATTTGGAGATATGAACTTATTACAAGGGAAACATGCTCGATGTAAGGATTGAAAACAGCTCACAGAAATTTATTTCATAAGTCTTAGCTATTGAAAAATTAAGCATATTTTTATGCTGGTGAGTAGTTTGTGATATTTTTTGGCACCACTTAGGTTTATGGAGCTTGTTTTAAAAAGCTTCCTCCTCCCCCCAAAAAAAGCTTGAGCCTGCAGTCTCCGTGGCAGGTGGAGAGGCCTAAGTCAGGCGTTTGAAAACCTGGTTAATGTAGATCTGATCAGTGGAGAGCTGAACGTGTCTTCTCACTTTCTTTTAATATTAAAGAATACTCCCATTTACTCGATTTTGCAATGTAATGAATAATAGTAAATATTAGGTGATATATACTGAATGTCCACTGTGTTCCAAAACCTGCTAAAACATTTAAACTTGACAGTAACCCATGAGCGACTATTATTATTCCCATTTTAGAAGTGATGAAACTGAGGGCACAAAAAGATTTCATAACTTGCCTGGGGTGACAACAGCTAGTGTGTAGTCAACTCAGGGTCAAAATCCAGGCAGTTGATTCCATCTTTTAAATTTTAAAAATTGGTTTGCTCGATTCTCACTGACCCTAAACTACTATTCATCACTTTTTCACACATCTTGTGCTCTTCAGACTGCGCTGGAACATTCTGTGTAAACCCAACCAGACTCTCTAAGACTTCCTCTCCTCTCTTGTGAATTTCAACGAAAATCTTTTTTAAAGGCAAAGGAAATTGTCACCATCTGTTGCGTGACTGCTTTCTTAAATGGTAGGATGCAGGACTTTGGGGTATCGTCTTATTAACCTCTGTAGTCTCAGCACCTGGCTCAGAGCAGGAGCGTGATGAATGTTGAAGGAATGGAAGAATATCTGGATAGTCTGTTAGAAACAGTTGTCTTCCCAATCAGACACAGCCATTTATAATTTTCCTGTAGCCACAAAGTAATAGCAATAGTGAGGTGACCCTGGCGTTTTTAAGGCCTGCATAAACACTTTTTGGATTAAACGAATATCCAAATGACCCACAACTGCTTAGAAATGACTTTGAAAATATCTTTCTGTAATTCCTTGAGCATATCAAAATTTCTACATTTTATTTTTCTCTAGAGAGAACTGGACATTCAGAAAGCAGTTTAGAAAGCAGAAGCAACTTACTTTATTTCGATCTTGTACAACCAATATTTTTCTAGTATTTTCATCAAATACAGCTCCTGTTGCGAGAAATAAAAGATAATCAGGAAATATGCATTTCATTCATCTTAGACTCCTTTCACACTCCTATTTGTGGTCGTTAAAATCCTACCCATTCTGGAAGGCCTGGTTCAATACCATCTCATCCTTGAAGATGGAAGTTCCCTCCAGCAAGAAGCTGCTTGCTCTGTCATCCAGGTTCTTTTAACCAATGATGGTTCTAACATGCTGACTTGTAGATAATCATCTGCAAAGCTTCTCTAGACTGTCTTTTCCTGATGATATGCAGTTAAATAATCTTTCTACCCCCTTATAAGTGTTTAGTGCCCAGACAATTTTAAGTGATTCAAAATATTGAAAAAGTAAGTTGACTTTTCTGTTCTCATTTTTGTTCCTTGAATCACTATGTATAGAACATGTGATGGTCCAAATCACAAACATCTCAATGTCTGGTTCACGACCCCCAGGAAGCACTGAAATCCGTTTACCACGTATGTACTCAGCTTTGTAACACACTAGTCTAGTGCTTTGGAACGCTGCTTTGTTTTGTATATATTTTAAGTTCTAGTTCATTGCTTTTACTTCTTCATTCATCATACACATTGCCCAGCACACTAAGTTTTGGCTAGATGTTAGGGATGCAATAATAATTTTCTTTTTCTATTTCTCCTTGGGCAATCCCGGGTCTGTTATGATACTTTAATGATTTGTATTAGGTTCCATTAAATGCTATAATTTAAAAATATCTGTGTTCACATAATGTGGGAAGATATTGCTAAAAAATGTATTTTCTACATATCCATTCTTTTAATATTGAGTTCCTATTGTATTGTCATATATATAGGTTCTACATACAGTATATTGCTTGAGCTCCTGTTGTATGTCAGGCACTCTTCTGGGTGCTAGGGATATAGTGATGAACAAAACCAAATTTCCCGTCTTCCCCGGGCTCAACTCATAACCTGGTGTGTGTGAGGAGGTGACCAACGAACAGAAAATAAATTCTATAGAACACGGGAAGGTGATAAATGCTATGTAGAGAGACAATATAGAAGGGGGTAGGTATGTAGAACACAAGGAAGTGCAATTTCCTTTGAAATTAAAACACATTTTAGTGTTTTAAAGCAAGAAGGAAAACCACTAAGTGAGATATAATTAACATTAAAGTTGGCTTCTATTAGAAAATGTAAACTATAATTTAATGGGACTTTACAGGGGATACAATGCCAGGGAAACCTACTCTTAAATTTTAATAATTAAATTGAACTTCTCCCCAATGAAGTCACTGTAAACATGAGCAAAATATCCCAGACAGCCAGTATCCCGAAAGCACAGTGTGAGTGACCCCTGCTGGTCACAACATAAAAGTTAAATCCAAAGCGATCAGGGATTAAACAGAGCCTATTATTATGTCATCATGAGACAGGTACTGTGCTAAGTGCCTTATGTGCACTATCTCAGGCTTTCCTCACAATAATCCCGTGAGTGGCATCATTCTGCTTGCCCAAGTTCACGCGGCTCTAAGACGGACAGCCGGCGGGCCTGGATTCCAGCAGGCATTCTCACTGCCACAGGGCCCTCACCACAGCACAGCTGGTTCTCAGAGGGCGACCAGTTCCCCTGAAAGACCTACGCAACCATTCATTCAGGAAGTGTTTGTTGAGCACTGACTTAATGCCAGACACTGTCTTTAGCCTGAGGTGAACATGAGAGAGAATACCTGCTTTCGCTGAGTTTCTATTATTGTGGGGAAAGGAAGTACATGAACTAGTATCCCCGACTGTGATAAGTGCCAGAAAGGAAACCAGCTGACGGTGGGGCTGGCCTGTGGGAAGACTCTGCTTTAGGGGGAAGGGCAGGAGCTTTCCTGAGCAGAAGCCTCAGTTCTGAAGAGCTGGACAAACGAAGGCCAGGGCGTGTGTGGGCAGGGTGAGGAGCCAGTGGGTCCAAGGGCTTTGAGGCAGCACGGCCCGGGAGGGAAGCTCCTCCTCTACCCACTTAGGGGCTGCGTCTGGGCCTGTGAATGGAACTGATAAGACAGATAGATGGAGTCAAAGTATATCAATTTTATTTGATAATATTTTCACGGGGCTTGGGGTGGGGGTGGAAAGACGTGAAAAGACCAGAAAAGCAGTTAGACAATTTTAACAAAGAGTGATAAATTGTGGAGATGTGATAAGACTACAGGAAGTAAATTATGGGCAAGTGATAAGGAAACAGGGGGAACCGAATGGAATAGGAGGATTTTAGTAAGGTTGGTTTTCCAGACTTGTCAGTGTCAGCATCTCCAGTGATAAGAACGCGCTCTTCCTGGTACAAAAAACTCAGGCCCTGCATTGAGGTAGAACGGGGGAGTCAGAACCCTTCCTATGTCTGCTGTTTCTCCATTGTCTTCAGCTCAAAATAATCAATGTGAGGGCCGGCCAAGTGGCGCGATGGTTAAGAACTGGCTTGGAACGCCAGAGGACCCCGGTTTGGATCCCACATATGAGGGCCAGACACTGCCCTCCACAGCTAAGATGCTGAACAACAGCTCAACCTGGAGCTGGGCTGCCGTGAGTCGCCGGCGATTGCGTAGGCTGCAGCCCCTGTTGCAGTGGGTTGCCATGGGCTACCGTATGTAGCCAGCAGCCAACGTGAGCGGCCAGCAGCTGCAGTGAGCGGCCGTCCAGAAGCCAGCGACTGATCTGCCTCGCCCAGGAAGAGTGCAATGATGGTGCCAACTTGGGCCAGTGAAGCAACGTCCTCCACAACTAGACTGAAGAACAAAAGGACAGCAACTTGTCTGTTCCCCTTCCCCCGATTCCCCAGCGCTGTTCCCATCCCCCCAATTCCCCAATAAAAAAAATCTTTAAAAAAAGAAAAAATAAATAATAATAATCAATGTGCCCAAGTGGCATATTGGGTTGTCGGAAAAGTCATGATGCATTTTTGCAACGAAAAACAGAAAAAATACGTCATGACTTTTCCAACAACCCGATATTTTGGGTCCTGATTCCCTTCGCCGGCCACATCTACCTTCTGTTCAAATGTCAACTGTTCTCTTCACCTGAGCTCTATCCCTTTCCAGAACAATCTCTTACATCATCTCTTCCCCATCCCAAAGAGCCACTTCAAATCCTACTTATTCTTCAAGACTCTGGTCAAGTTCCTCTCTTTCTCTGAAGGCCTCTGGCATATCTTAACTACAATACAAAATAGTTATAAACGAGTCCTTCATGCACAGGGTACCAAGTCTGTACTAATAACTGGAAACTCAGTCTGTACCAATGAATGGATAATTATCTGTATGACTTTCTAATGAAGGCTGTCATCATATAAGGCTGGTTTTCATAATGAGGCTGTCCTCACATTTTTCAGGTCGTCTTCTGAAGTAGAGCTGAGTGGAAAGTTTCCAAATGTCTGGACTTGCTACAGGGAGTGAGGGACCCAGAAAACATTAGCCATCCCTGAATAACTCCTTTAAAAGGCTTCAAAGGTGCAGGCTACCTTTAACTCTTGCAAATTATATGAAGGGTAATAAAATTATTATTGATTAAATTACTAATATGTATTACTGCTTTTATTTTAGGTCATAAGGATTCTTTACTATTTTAGTTTTCCTGGAAATCTAGGAATTTTCTTAATCTCCGCTCTTTGGAGGGTGGTCCTGGGATCAGCAGCCAACAGCAGCAGCAGAGAACTCATTAGCAATGCAAATTTTCAGACCCCACCCCAGACCACCTGGACCAGAAACGGGGTGGGGCCCAGATTCTGCTTTAAATCTTCCAGGTGGTTTCCATGCACTCTACAATTTGTGAGCCCCTTAACCTAAAGCAAGTATTTTCTCAAGACTGTCTCTGAAGCTAATCAGTGCCTTCAAAACTCAGTAACATATTTAAATTATGCCTTTTTAAACAACTCTTTGGCACAATTACTTAATGTAAATGTCTTTAACAAGTAATGTTCAAATCATTGAAAAACTGGTTTGCTTTACCTTAAGTTAAACCTGAAAGCTATCTTTTATTCTACAAATTCACATAATTAGTACTAATATGTTTTACCATAATGAATTTATTCCCTGATCCCAATTCAGTATGAAGTTCAACTGTGTAAAACATGTTCAAACACATCCTTTGGAAAACCACTGAATTTACCTGTTTGTTCTCTCTGCTGCCCTCTGCTGATTCACAAGGCAAACTTCATCTATTCAAAGCAGTAGCACTAATCCCAAGGAGGATGGATAATCATTTCATCAAATTATTCATTTCACGAGAATAAGCTTTCGCTACGTTGTAAGAAGTAAGAAGCCGGGTGAACCTTTGAAAAACTAATTCTGATTTTCCGGAGTTAGAAACTGACCTGCGACTCCCACTTGATGTGTAGCATATCCTGGGAGTCGGCTGGGCCCCTCTCCCAGCCACAGCGTCAGCGTGGATGAATCCGATTCTGCGTGGTGAAAGCGGAAGCCCAGGGCAGCGGCCGGTGCAATAAATCGGCTTTGCAGGATGGGAATGTGCAGCCAGACTGCTATTCTGCCTTCCGATCTCCACCGTTGCACTGCAGCTAAAATGCGGAAGATAAAATACTGTCAATATTTTCCAGCGCGAGGAGCGGAATCAATCCAAACTCATCTCCGTGTCACCTCCTCCAGGAAGCCATCTTGAAGCACCCACTTCCCCTGCTATTGGGAGGGAGGGAGGGTTGGAGGGTCCCAAAATGTTCTTTTCACACCAGTAGCACGGGAACTACTAATTTTTTTTTTTTTTATGGTCACCACCTTGTTTCTATGATTTTCCCACCAGACTGAATTCCTTGAAAATAGCATCAGTCCGGTCATGGTCTTTATATTCATATCACCTGACATAATGCTTGGCACATAATTGTTCATCAGTCGTTGTTGAATGAACAAATAAACTGATTTAAACAAAATAAGGTGGCATTTTAATTGGTTCCTTTTAACATTTTAGTTGTAATCGTCATGAATATTATGGGCTCCTATTTACTCTTTAAGAGTTCCGTCATAATCTTTTTGGTTTATAAATTTCAAGGTGGTTAAAATATTATAACTTCAACATAATGTATGCTAGTTCTAGAAAATGAAGCCAGTGTCCCTAACACAGCGGCAGACGGTGCGTGTGAGGGGGGTCTGTGGAAGCACGAGGGAGGGTCTGTGTGAAGGCCGCGGGAGGGGGCCGTGATCGTCCGATTATTTGTTTCTATTTACAGGCAATGCCATTCAATTTTGTTGGACTCAGTAACAACTGACCCAGCACCAGCTCTTAGGCGCAGCACAGTTCAGTGAGACTAGATTCTCGAACCGGGGAAATTACAAATCTCTCTGTGCCTCGGTACCACTATCTTTAAAATGAGGATAATCGTACCTAACTCACAGGATTGTTATGAGGATTAAATGAATTAATATTTGTTCTTAAACCAGTGTCTAGCACTCAGTAAGTGCAATAGAATTTATTAAAAGATAAAAAGGATATGGTACTTCCGAGTTTATAAATTAGTTTCATAAAATTTATCTTGGATCACCACATCTATCCAGTAATTAGGGCTGGCATTATTCACATAAGCAAACCTGAGAGGCAAGTGTTTTCTGTGATTTGCCTCATGCCTGGCAAAGCATGAGGCAGAACCTGGAACTTGAAACCTGGATGTGTGACTCCAAACCCGGCCTCCTTTCTGCTTGGCCTTGCTGACTGCGGTCACCTGAGCTTTGATCACCTTTGGTCACTGACAAGTGACAAGTGTGTGCAATAAACACCTGTATGTAACCTCAGAACACCTATTAGAGGACGAACACTGATTTGCTTCTCCTCCTGGCGATATGGCTGGAGTCAGCAATTATTCACAACTGGAAGAGGAAACGAGGTGAAGCGGTAAGTAGTTTGGGAATGAGGATGATGAAAGAATGAAGTGACTCGCTGGATTATAGTCACATATTGACTCACTTGCCACATTGTTCAATAGAAGAGATCATGTGAAGCTTCCTGCTAGTGTGACGGGATCCTTCCCTGGCTGGATTTCCTTGCTATGCCTTTAATTCAAAGGACCCACCAGGGGCAGTTTGAAAAACAGGCTGTTCCACCAAATCAAGGCTTCTCTGAAAGTGAAGGCTCCCCCATCGGAGCTTTCTTTCTTATCATTGGATTCAAGGCTCAAAGAGTGGGAAGTTTTCTTAGGAAAACCGAACCCACCCACCAGCTCCCTGGTTAATTATAAAAGATTTGTTGCTCTGTTAAGTACAAGCAAACTCGCTCTTGACGAGGAAGCCCTGACGGATTTGTGTACAAATAGGATCACTGGGAACCTCTGTGGTCACTCGTTGTCACCACCGGTATTAGAATGTGAGGGAGTTCTGTTTGGGCAAAGTGCCCGGCAGCACCACGGCTCGGCCAATGACAGTGAATAATAACGTAATGAATGATATTGACAAACGCGTACTGCGCGTTAACCATGCTCAGCGCTTCAGACGCGTCATCCAACGGAACCCGCGGCGATCCCCTGCGCTTATAACCCGGTTTCATGGAAGAGGCAATGGTGGCTCACAGAGCTTGCCCAAGGTGAAGGTCACGCACGAGAAAGTGGACCAGACACTAGTGCTGCCGACCCAAAAGGCCGGGGTCGTCACCATTTGTCCCAACCGCCTCCGAGACCTCCCAGCAAGGGGCACCGGAACCAAGGGGGAAAGCGGGTGCAGCCCGGCGCGCCCTCTCCCCTCCGCTGGGCTCGGTACTCAACCAGCGCAGAGCGTGGGGGTTACTCATCAGAAGCCCGGGAACCCCTCGGCCCAGGCACACTTGCCCTGCAGGCCACTCTGGAAGGCGGCGACGTCCAGGCTGTCCAGCCGCGCCAGGCGCACCGTGACGCCCCCGAACCTGTCCAGCTCTCCCCGCAGCAAGCCGGATCCGGCAGGGGTGTCCCGCGCGCAGCCCGCACCGCCCGAGGTCCTGCGGGGCGCGGCTGACAGCCTTGCGCGGCGGGCGCGAGCCAGCACCACGCGCAGGTGGCCCCCGCTCAGCAGAGGAGGCATCCCCGCGCCTGTCCCGGCCGCCGCTCCAGTTCACCCCGCCTCCACTCGGGGGGGGAGGGGGGCGCGGAGGGAGCTACCGTAAACTTCAGAAGAGTGCCACCCTACCTTCCCAGAGTTGAGCTGGGCGGACCACTTGGCAGCGCTATACCCAGGAGATTGCGAAGTCCTGTCCACCAGCTCCCTTCAGGAATTTGCCCGGCCCCAGGAAAGCGGGGAAACTTTCCCATCCCTCTCCCCGCAACCCCTCATAGCTTAATTCAACACACATGTGTTCGGGGATGGGGAAAGCGAGCGGAGACAGGGAAAAAAATCCTGTCTTTCTGGAACGTACCATCTAAATAACGGTGCCGCCCACCCGATTCGATTTCCTTTGTAGAAGAAACTCTTCAACTGCTGACCAAGCTCGGGTCTCCTTTCTCCTGCTGCGCTCCACTCGGGGGATTACGGCGCAGGGGCGGAGCCTCGCTGGCTTCTGCCCCGGAAGTTTTTCCCTCCGCGAAGCGCGCACGTTGAGCCGGCTTTACTGCTTCAACTCCCGAGCCACGTTCGGAGCATGTCTTCCAAGAAGAACAGAAAACGGCTCAACCGGAGCGCCGACAATGGCTCTCCCTCGCCCTCCGCGGCTCGGTCTCCTGTGGGAGCCTTGGCTCCTTCTGCGGAGCCCGGCATCGCGGCGGCGCCCGGGACTCTGACGGTGATCAACTTCTTAGAAAAGGGTAAGAGTTCTTGGAGGGCGACCCGAGGCCGAAGGGGCGCAGCCTGAGGGACGAAGACCTAGCGATCCCCCAGGAGGCGCAGAGGCTTTTGAAACCTGGGCGACCCAAAGGTGTGAGCGGGGCTCCGGAGAACGTGACACCCGAAGCCGCGCGTGCCCGGGAGAAGTCAGGCAGGAGTGGGTCACCCGTGGCGAAGGCAACGGTGTTTCTTTTCCTTTCCTTTCCTTTCCTTTCCTTTTTTTTTTTTTTTGTAAATTGTTTTGATTTTCCAGGTTGCGCTTGAAACAACTTTGTCTCCTCTAAGGTTAACGACGTACTTAACGGGACCACACTGCGTCTGTCCAGCGAGCCTAGGCGACTGGAACACCAACAGCCAGTTCGGTCAAGACATGGACACACCGTTTCTAAGAGACATCCCTGGGCTTTAGGGACGAAAGGTGGCTTTTTCTTCCATACAGGCCCTGGTGTTAGCGGCACGCCCGTGTTAGCAGGGCAGGGGGCGCTTGTCACGTCCATGGCTCATTTAATCTGCGCAGAAGCCCTGGGACATGGGCGCTGCATCCCTGTGCCCATTTTGCAGAGGAAAAAAAAACGTGCGTGGTTCGCCCCGGGCTGCGCAGCCACAAAATGGCCGAGGCCGCTGTTGAGTTCCTATGTGTTTGACCCGAAGGCCGTTATCCTAGATCCCAGCCCCCTTGAATTGGAAGAACGACTTATCGGAAAGGCCCATTTTTATTTTCTGTGTTCGAGCTGTGGGTGATAGCTTTGAAAAATGGAACCGAACACACGAGTGGCAAGATTGTTACGTTTTATGCAGACCGTAGAGACTGTCTTAGAGAGAACACGTGTTTTTAGTCTCCCTTTGCGGGGGTCAGAGAACAGCTTGTCCTGGCCCGCGTGTTCACTCCCTTTTTCTGCTGGATACTCCCCACTGACATTGAAACCTGCCGATTTCTCTCCTCTATCTTAAAAAGAAACAAACACAACAGCTCCGCATTGTCTTCCTGCCACTACCTTGTCTCTCCACTCGCGTCACTGCCAAACTTCCTAAATGGAGTGAGCTGCCTGTGCCTCCGCATCCTTGAGGTGCTCCTTAGCCTGTTCCTGTTTGACCTCCACACCCCTCCCCGCATTCCTGGGAATCCACCCCTGCCGTGGCCCCCCCATCATCTATCTCCATGTGGAGACATCCAGTGGACAGTTTGTCATTGCTTAACGGTACTTGACCTCTCTGCAGCTTTTGACATTGTCTACCATTTCCTCCTTGAAACACTTTACTTCTTGACTTACATGTCATTAATCTTTTCGAGTTTGTCTTCATCCTTTTGTTGGTGCGTCCTCAGTTTCCATTGCAGGCGCATCCTCTCCTACCTGCTCATCAAATGTTGACTGTCTTCAATTCTCATTCCTAGGAATTGGAAATTTCCTCTCTATGCATCTACTTTTTTCGGCAAGTTCATTCAATGCCGAGTTTCCCGTCTATATTGTCATCATTTTCAGATGTATATTTCTAATTTATACTATTTCTGAGTCTTGAGGCAGTTGTCTTCCAGATCAATGCCTCTCAAACTCTATAGGGAAGGTTTTAAAATTTATGACATGTCACAGATCAGCACTTCTGTAAAATACAATAAACATGATTTACTGGGGAAAAAAGTTAAAAACTAGAAATTTTTATTAGGTTCAACAGATGGAAAATTACTCTGTCAAATTGCAATAAAAGCTTGTAAACGTATATTCTCTTTTTCTGTACTTAGCTCGTCATGAGCCAGTAACCTAGCTTGCAGGCCACACTTTGACTAGCACTGTGCCATACCTGTTCTCTTGGGTTTTCCAAAGGTACTTCAAGACTCACCTCAAGAACTTCTATTTCCTCCAAGAAAACAAACTCTAGACCTTTTCACTTTTTCCCGTTTCAGCATTCAGAAACCTAGGAGTCATCTCAGACCCCTTTTTCTCTTCCCCTCTTACATATTCAGTCCACCACTAAGTTCTGTTTATCACCTAACTATTTTCCATATTCCTCTTCACTCCGACCCCACTGCTTCCACCTTAATCGTAGACACCACCCTTTTTCACCTGGACTGCTTACTACACTAGCCTTCAGTTCTTTTCTACTTTGCAGCCAGCATGATCTTTTACATGGAGATCCTGTCATCACCCTGCCTTTCAGGCCTCATTGGACTCCAGTTGCTGTCAGAATAAAGGCCAGCAGCTTGAAACAGCCTTCCGCCCTTGACCTTGACGTGGCCCCTCGTTGCCTCCCACCACTCTGCCTGTGCTCCCTGCTGCCTGGGACCTCGGTACATGCCTCTCTTTTTGCTGAGAAGTATCTTTTTTTTCTCTTTATTTAGTTAATTCCTACTCTTCCTTCAGATCTGAATTGAAACATTACCTGGAGAAGCATTTTCTTATTCTTCCACATTAGATCAGATCTCACATTAAAGCCTTGCCTAGCCCTCTGAGCCATTGTTTATTGCGTTAATCTTAGTTTATAATTAATGGAGTTATTCCGTGTTTGTTTAATAACCCTCTTATCCTGTTAGATCGCAGGCTTCAGTGACTGCCCGCTTTTGCATCCCCAGTGTCTAGCGTAGTATCTGCCATGTAGTAGGCACATAGTAAATATATGCTGAAGGACTGAATGAAGGTGGATGGTCATTTGAAACTACCTTTACTATCGCATTAATTTACCTGGCACAGAGGTGCTCAATAAATGTGAAGTTACTTAATGGGGAATGAGATATTTTTAAAGCGGTAGAGGAAGTGTGTGGAGGACAGCTTGAGTAAACTGCGTGCTGTAAGCAGCACATACAGTGGAGATGCATTGGGAGTCAGGCAGGGGATGGGATTTGAACGTGACCGCCATGGGTGATAGGAGGACATGGCAGTATTTCGAGAAGCCTGTGATTTGTCAAGTCCTGGTGTGTGGCAATGCTAGGGTAGGATGGAGGGAAGAGAAGAAAACTTGGAATCCTGCTGAGACTGATATATCTGTGAGGCAACTGTTCTGAGGGAAAGGTAGGTAATTCACTGAAGTTCAGGAAGAAAAAACTGACATCATTAAGCCATCATCAAACAGGATGCTCGGCTGCTATAGATGGGTAAGCTACGTAAGAGACCTGATGCTCACAGGACAGTAGAATTGCTTTGCAGCCTCTCATATTTTGCAATGTGCTCATTTTATTTTATACTTAGTACTGGTAATCTTAGCTTGGTGAAATGCTTTGTTTTTCTGGATGTTTATCTGATGACAGGAGCAGAATAAAGTGTCAGGAAGTTACTTTGTAGTGTCTAATGTAAATTAGACATACCTTTTGGTTTTGCTTTCATTGACCTAATTACTTTTTAATTACAAGGGAGGTATTTTTCTGATTATTAAGGAGCAGTAATATTAGTTTATGATTATATGTCTATAATAAATTTTATGTTGTGGCAGCTTAAAATTTCATTGATCATGGATTTTGTGCCGAAAAGAAAAATACTGTGTACTCACTGACTACATTCATGCATTTCACAGATATTTACTACACAGCTGCTTTATTTAATGCATGCCCAGGCATTGGAGACACACAGTAAAGAGGACTCAGCTCTAGCCCCAAAGCAGCGAGTAGTTTAGGAGAAAGTCAGACTGTAAAACAAATGAATGTTGTGATGTTCAGTGTCAGTACCTGGCAGCATGGAGTGCTGGGAGGACCTGAGAAGGGGCAGCTAACCAAATGTGGAGCTGGAGGGGTGGATGAGAAGGGGTGGAGAATTTTAGCATACCAGTTTCAGGAGTGTTGGTAACTGGGCTGAATTCTGGCCCCTCCAGCCAAAAGTTGAAATCACGAATGGTCATTTCAGTCAGTGCATGTGTATTTGCCCACAGTGTTACTCTCATCCATGTGTTCTTGGGAAGAGAGAAGATCTGATGGCTCTTATGTGGGTCAGAAGTGGAAACATGACCAATCCTCTGGAGTCAGATGCTGTCAGTTCCCTGTTCAATCCTTTGAATACCTGGGACGGGCTCTACTTTGAGTCTAGTGCGGAAAGCTCGGCGACTCCTTGTTGCTAGTGTGCACGGTTCTTCCTGAAACTAAAGATTTGTTTTTAAATAATGAAAACTATAACCCACTCCATAAAACATTTTGTTTTTAGTTAGCATGTTACTGTTAGTGGAGCCTCAAAAAGGTTTGGTTTCAGGTCTGTTTGTTAAAATATTGTCAAACCGTGCTTTCTCCAAGGTAAAGTAAGTGCCTTCGTGTGATTATGTGGAGAGGATTTTTATTTACTCCACAAGAAAGCATGCTCTCACTTCAGTTACAAAACGGTACAGAATCATTTTCTTTTCCTTGGTAGATGACAGAATTCCTAAAAAATTCCAGAATTCCCTTGTTCAACTTGGACTCAGCACTATGAAGTCTGCAAATATATGTATAGGCCGACCAGTGTTGCTTACCAGTTTGCATGGAAAGCAAGAGGTAAGAGTTCTTTTCATTCCCTTAGTTTACAGAGATTTGTGATGTTTGTGATTTTAATTTTCAACACAAGCAGGAATAAGTGAGAAACTTTGTTTTTAATTTTTTTTTTAATTATTAGTTTCAGGTGTACAGAACAATGCAATAGTTATCCTTTTCACCCTCACAAAGTAACAACTCCCTCCCCCCATCACTGCCCTCCCACCCCCGATATCATGCTTATCTATTACAATTCCATTGACTCCATTCCCACACTCCACATCGCATGACTATTTGTATATATAATTATAGTTGACATACATTATTATTCAACATAAGCTTCAGAAATACATTGCGGTGGTCCGGCCTCTACACCGACTATGAAGTGGTCTCCCTAACAAGACATGAGAGAAACCATATTTTAAAAGACCCTCGCATCTTTATAGACTTTCCCTTCATTTGATGTCTAGGACTCCAATGGGAATGCAGCCCCAAATGTCATAATGTAGCGTGGTCTTTCCTTGGGAGGTAGTGAGACACACACTATCTCCCAGTCTGTTAGTTGTTATTCTCTATAGAAATTATGTTAGGGTCTGAAGATCATACAAATATTTGATTACCCTCCCTGTTTTCAGCTGTGTTTCTCCTTTCTGCCATTCATCGTACCTGAGACTCTAAGCCCGGACCTTTTTCTGGGTCATGTTTGGCAGCTTGACTTTCTTTGCTGCTAGCCCCTGCCTCTGCCACATCTGCTGCTGCTGCTTCATTTCTCAGGATTCTCTCATCCACTGGGGCCCTCTGGAAAGGTTTTGAAAACTTATCGGCTGATGGCACACCTCCCGTTCTTTTTATTGTCCTGGGCTTATACTTTTAAAAATCCTTTACTGTGTCTTGTGGAAGAGAAGACTCTAAATGTGTGAGCTCAGCCCACTTTCTGGAGCTAGCAGTGGTTGCTTCTCTCGCTAACATCTAAGTCTGATGAGATCCAGGTCCCACGAAGCCCTGAGGCCAGGCCCCTCACTGTTTCCAGGGTGCAGGGTATGCCTCAGGCTGGACTACCTGACAGGTAGCTGGCCTTCAGTGGTTTTTTTCATCTTCTCACCTATTCATGCCTTTGTCTTTTTTCCTAAATCCACCTCTTAAGACTTCCACCATTTTCACTGTGGGATCTTGCCTGATCTTCACAAGAAGATGTAATATTTATAAAAACTTTTTTGGGTAACTTGTGTCAGATTGTAACTCCTTTGCGGTAAGGACTGTGTTTACAGATCCATGTACTTGGCTGTGCTTAGTTTTTTGCCTTACAAAGTAATGATATTCTGTGAATATTTATTTTCTCATAATTTCATTTTCTGTGTCCTGGGCAGGTCTATACAGCCTGGCCTGTATCCGGATTTCCTGGAGGCAAGGTTGGCCTGAGTGATATAGCCCAGAAGAATGTGGGTGTCAGGGTTGGTGATGCCATCCGAGTCCAGCCTCTTTTGGGGGCTGTGCTGCAGGCTGAGGAAATGGACGTGGCACTCAGGTTTGGCTCTTTTCCTTGGTGGCTGAATCAACACTGCCTGGTAGAAATAGAACAAGAGTCACAAGTGTGAACCACATGTGTAATTTTTGCATTTTCTAGTAACCATTTAAAAAGAAAAGAGAAACAGATGAAAATAATTGTAATTGTGTATTTTATTTAACCAATATATGAAAAATCTTATTTTAACATTAATAGCTATAAAAACTATTAATAAGATATTTTTCATTTAGTTTTTCAAATTAAGTCTTCAAAATGCAGTATGTATGTTACAGTTGGAGCACACCTCTGTTTGGACTAGCTGCAGTGTAAGCACTTGATGGCCACATGTGCTGAGTGGCTAGTGGCCTCCTGTATTTATTAGCACAAGCTAGGTGAGTGCTGGTAACCTAGGGACTAGGGACTCTTAACGTCCTGTGGTTCAAGTGTGCCCCGACAGTGTAGTGAGAGGAATTATTACTGACGAATGTTTAACAATGTTTTTCATCTTGGTTTGCAGTATAATCAGGGCTTCTTGTTTTTTTTACAGTTGTAAAGAAGGGAGTAGATTACGGTGAGTAGGCAAGAAACAAGTTTTAATTAAGACTGCGCGAGCAAATTACCTGATTGTCTATTTTAATTCCATGATTATTTCATCTAGTGAAAGTCATTTCTATCAGATTTTTAAGTAGTCCCTCACGAAAGACTATTTGAATCAACCTATCAAAGCGTATCGCCCATCCCCCTGGAAATTCTATGCCTGATAGAATTGTGACTCAGTTTATGAAAATCGTATCAAAGTTTGTTTTAAAAAAGCATATTTTGATACTTTAATATCACCTTAGTAATAATTTTGGGGATGTGTTTATATTATATGCAGTAATCACAAAACATTTTCCAGTTTAGCTTTATTTGAAAATGTTTTCTTCTCTTTTGCTAGTTTTGTAGGTGCCAAGCTTGAGCTTCAGCACATTTTTTCCTTTAAAAACAGGAAGAGGTTTTCAGAGCATTAAATAAACATATAACAAACGGTAAATAACGGGCAGAAAGGAAAAGGAACACCACATATGTTGAGGACCCGCTGTGTACTATCTCGCGTGTACACATGCTCACACACACACACATTTTTTTACCTTTCTCTTAGTTGATCCTCTAAACATCCTGCAAGGCATCCATACTCACCCTTTTTCTCAGGTGAGGAAACGGGCTCAGTGAGAAGCAACTTGCCCGCCCTTGTAGGCGTTACTGAGTATTACTGCTCAGATTGTGCAGGGTTGTTCTTCACTGTTTGCTGACGGGACTGCAGTCACAGTCCTCAGTTAACTGGATTTTTGATGCCCTCCTAATTAGTGTGACCTCTTGAGGGCACAGCAGTCTTAGGTACGATCAGCTACTGCGTTTTAAATGGAAGCTTGGTTTTAAAATTTTTACTTAAAACAAAATTTATATGTTTTCAATGTAGCAGCGGAGCTTAGACAAGAAACTTAATTTCCAAGAAAAATCGGTAATTTTTATCTGCTGCTTAAGTTGCACTGTATTTGAAGTTTTTCATTAGAAAGTTTAGAGCTCCTTCTAGTGGAAATGATTTTATCTGCACCCATTCTTTTTCAAAAGCAAGGTGGTGTTTTTCTGCTTTTGTAAATATTTGTAAATATCTCTATTCAGAGTTTAATAAATAGAAATAATTTAAGTACAACTTGGTTCAGAGTTGTACAAACAAGTAAATTTAAGCATTTAGGGAGACACATGATTTCCTCTTTAGTTTATGTATACATTTGATTCAAGAAATTTCCTTCTTGTTCACTTTCTCTTTTATATGAATACACAGTCCATTCTTGTTATTTGTGGTAGTCTTGTTCTATAAAGTTGCCACAAACACTGGATTAGCAAACACTGAACCATTTAAATATATAGAAATGTCTATATTTTATATACAATAGATTATAATCTAAAATCCTTAAAACAACTCATTCTGGCATATTCTGTTTTCTTTATTTTACAAAAGAGAAGAGGTAGTTCAGAAGTGTTAAGTAGCTTACTTGAGTCCACCCCCCTCACAGATGCGGGCACTAAGGATTCAAACCCCCTCCCGCTGGCCCTAGAGCTGGAACTTTCTGCTCTCTACACTGCTCCTCTGGTCATCACTGATGAGAGCTGAAATAAGGTCTTTTCACCCTTAGCCAGGAAAGTGTTGGGCGACTTACCTTTTTTGCCTGCTCTATCCACAAGTGACTGGGGAAGCTCTGCCAGTATTGATTTGGGGGTACCAAGTGGATTTCAGCAAGTTGGCGAATCCGCACATAGGGAATCTGCATATGATGAAGACTGACTGTATTGGTTTGTTACTGAGGAAGTGGTTGGAGAGCCAGGCCTAGATGGGGCCTCAATGGGCCTGCTCACACATCTCTTCCTTGACTGTGCCCATCTACTGATGTGTGACGTCTACTGACGTGAGCTACTTACACATGGAGGAGGAGTGACACGCACATGATCTGAGAACCCTCCAGGGACATGTTTCTTTACAAGTGGAATGATTTTTAGGTGTGCCTATTTCCTGTACTCAAACAAGCGGCCTCCCTGGAAGACAGTTACTCGTCAGAAGAAGGGCTCTCGTTTTTCTTAGGCGTGCCTGTCCTCTGGAATAAACCCCCATTGTACCAATCCTCTCCTTTTTCATAGTTCTGCCGCTTCAGATAATGTGCTGTATAGGATTTATTTTTCCTGAAAGATAATTCACAGATTATACAAAGGGAATGAAGTAAACTATTTAATAAAAGCCTTTCTTCAAGCTAAGCAAGTTCAGTGAGGGAATGATTAATTTAGGCCAGTGCTTTTCAAATGTTTTTGACTGACACACAATAAAAAATAGATTTTTCATTGTGATTCTTATATATTTACAGTAGATACACTTACAGTGCACATTTGCACACGTGTGTACCTATATGCATATGAGGATAATAGATGCCTGTGTGTCTAATAAAAGAACATTTTACAGAGCAGTATTACCCTATGTGTGGTGTACTCTGACATGTTGTATTCTGTTTAAAAAGTGCTGGGTGGGACTGACTGACTGAAATGATGTCATGATCCACTAATGGATCATACCCTCTTTTTTTTTTAAAGATTTTTATTGGGGAATTGGGGGGATGGGAACAGTGCTGGGGAATTGGGGAAGGGGAACAGACAAGTTGCTGTCATTTTGTTCTTCAGGCTAGTTGTGGAGGATGTCGCTTCACTGGCCCAAGCTGGCACCATCATTGCGCTCTTCCTGGGTGAGGCAGATCAGTCGCCGGCTTCTGGACGGCCGCTCACTGCGGCTGCTGGCCGCTCATGCTGGCTGCTGGCTACACACAGTAGCCCATGGCAACCCACTTACACAGGGGCTGCAGCTTATGCCGTCGCCAGCGACTCACGGGAGCCCAGCTCCAGGTTGAGCTGTTGTTCAGCATCTTAGCTGAAGAGGGCAGTGTCACTGGCCCTCATATGTGGGATCCGAACCAGGGCCCTCTGGCGTTCCAAGCCAGTTCTTAACCATCGTGCCACTCGGCTGGCCCATACCCTCTGTTTTGAAGAACACTGATTCAGGCCTCTAGAATACCAAATTGCCAGTGGCATTTTCATGGCTATAAGAAATACTTGGAAATGGTAAATCATTCCAAAATATTGTAAATCATTCCATGTTGTAAACTAATTACACGTTTGATTAGGTCTGCGTCACAGCTATGTACTTGTCATTTTATATTACATTTTAGTTTCTGGTGTACTTAATGTTTATTTCTGTTTCCCCCACCTGCAACCCTCTACAGTGAAAAAAATGTGGAGATTAATGAAGAACAATTAGCTGGCTGTCTTCTGAGAAAACTAGGTGAGAAGACATTTTAAACACTTTTTAAAATTTTAAGAAGCAAGGCAGCAGCAAATAGTGTGTCTTCACACTATTTGTGTACTTAATAGTTTTCTTCAGAACAATGTTGAGAACATTCTCCTCAATGAATTACTATCCTTTTAAGTTAGGGATTTGGTTTTTCCCCAGTGTATTAGTTGGCAGTTGGGTAGCAGAGAGAATATATGACTTGTCTGCACGAAGTCAGTGGTAGAACTGAGACTTTGAGCCCTTGAGCTCTGGCTCTTTCCAGGGAGAAGCATTATCTTGGCATGCTGGTTTCCATGTGCTGGTTTCCGTGTGCCATTTTAGGTTTATTATCGAAGGTGGAAGGCACAGCTGTTGGTTGCTGTCGTTGATAGAATCTTAGATACATGGCATGTAGAGAATTTCAGAGAATCATCTTGTCCTTTAATCTCCAGACAGTGATCTGTCACTGGGGGATATTAGGTCCTTTATTTTTCATGACGATTATTTTTATTTTATTTTTTTTAAGCTGAGCCATCCTGCCACATGTTGGCAGCTCAGCAGCTGCTCATCTCAGGCCAGGAATCGAACCGCTGTTGCTCAGAGCTCAAACTCTTGAGTGAGCTCTTAACCAACTGAGCCCCTTGGCCGGCTCTGACAATTATTTTAATACTCCCATCTTTGAGTGTCTTTTCAGTCAGATTTGTTAATAGATGAAATAAATTTGCTATTAAACATTAAATGAGTGAAAAGTTGTGCTGACCTGTATATTCATAAATTGTTTTCTAGATGGCAAGATTGTTTTACCAGGCAACTTTCTCTATATTACTTTCTATGGACGACCATGTAAGCTGCAAGTGTTACAAGTGAAAGGAGCAGATGGCATGATATTAAGAAGACTTCAGCCTGACCCTGGTGCCCGGGAGGTGGCCTCAGAACGGTCCAGCATAGAAGCCAGCACCCTGGATATGTCCTTAAAGCTAAGCCAGTTGGACCTGGAAGAACACCAGGACCCAACATCAAGCAGTACTCCTTGCAAACCAGCTGATGGCAGAATGACAAATAGAGCTGGTGACATTTTGCCAGATGTCACACAGAATCCTGGTGGCAACAGTGGACTTGAGGTGGAGGAAGTCACAAATCTTAAACATAGTTTTGCGTCTTTCATGGAAGGAAATGAGCATCTTATCAGTGAAAAGAGATTGCCTGAGTCAGCCAGCATGGGAACAAAATGCAACACCGACACTTTTTATTTTATTTCTTCAACAACCAGGGTCAATTTTACAAAGACTCGTACAAATTCAAAAGAGCAAGGCAACCAATTCAAAGTGACTTATGACATGATAGGAGGCTTAAACAGTCAGCTGACGGCAATTAGAGAAATGATTGAATTGCCTCTCAAACAGCCTGAACTTTTCAAGAGTTATGGTATGATTTCTTCAGTGTATTGCTCCCAACAGTGCTAACTTCAAACTAAAAAGCAGTTGGCTCATTCTGTTTATCTAATAGTCGATCACCCTCTCTTCCTAGTTTTCTTTCCTGAGTGGTCGGTATGGTAGGAGGTGAGAGTTGCTTTGGGAGAGACCAGTTAGGTGAGCCTGTTTCTATGCTTGGGCTCCTTAATTAAAACCTGGACTTTTAATTATACACTTCTGCAGTTATTTCTATTGGATTAAGAAGTAGTTTATCATACTAGACCAGCTTTAAAGACTAAAGAAATAAACCACACATTCAGATAATGTTGGATAAATCTTGGTTAGAAAAGATAGCTGTGTGCAGATCTCTGCATTGAGACAAGTGATTAAGGGAGTGGCTTAGTTCCTAGGAAACTCAGGGCTTCCTCTTTCTGGTTACTGCCGATTCTCTGCATATATTTGGTGATTTGCTGTTTCCTTTTTCATGAAAAAAAAATATGTGTGTGTGTGTGTGTGTGTGTGTGTGTGTGTGTGTGTGTATACACACACATATGGGGATTGATGGCTGGCTTTATGCCCTTGTTGTGTCTAGACTTTGTTTTCTGAGAATCTGGGGTTGGGCATGGCACCAGTGGGTGCCCAGCCACTTTTACCCATGTGCCTGGATTGGTTGGGTCTACAGAGAAAGCAACAGTCATTGCTGGAGATCAGTGTTTGGGCTAGTTAATACATCTTCCTGGGAGGTAAAAAGAAGGTCGGACTCTTCCTTGAGTTTTGTGATACAAGGTAAATTTTTGTTTGAAGTCATATGACAACACAAGAAACCTCGTGGTGCTGAATCCAGTGTTGTCTTTTTTTTCTTGTAGGAATTCCTGCTCCTAGAGGAGTGTTACTGTATGGCCCTCCAGGTACTGGGAAGACAATGATCGCCAGGGCTGTTGCTAATGAGGTCGGAGCCTATGTTTCTGTAATAAATGGTCCTGAGATTATAAGCAAGTAGGTGCATAATTTAAGAGAATAAACAATATTATTAAATATGCTTCTTAAACGTGATTTTTAAAAATGGGTGCATACTATTCTGTCTGGATGTTTCATATATTAAAATAGTTTGTATTTGCTTTTTAATGTATAAAAATTAAGTTTGAAAAATCATTTTTGAAAGTAATGTAAGTATTCTAGAAATATTTGGAAAGTCAGATGAACTTTACAGACAAAACTTTAAAAACAATAAGAGTTGGTCTTTATATGTATTTTATTTATTACAGATTCTATGGGGAGACTGAAGCAAAGTTACGTCAGATATTTGCTGAAGCCACTTTGCGGTACTCTTTTATTTTTATATGTTTGAAATTAGTAGTCAAGGCTGTATTAATCAAAGTAGAGATACTAGCACCTTATATGAAGCATGAAAGTATAGTACAAAACAAACAGTGGTAGCACTAGAAATCGATTGTAAACCTAATAATGTTCTATCAAACCTTTTGCTATCATACTGTTTTGGAAGTTTGATAACTGAGTTATTAAATTACATAAGGCAGCAAGAAGTACAAACTTCCAGTTATAAAATAAATAAATCATGGGAATGTAATGTGCAGTATGGTGACTATGGTCAGTAAAACTATTGCACGTTTGAAAGTTGTAAGGAGAGTAGATCTTAAACGATCTCATCACAAGAAAAAAGTGTTGTAATGATAATATGTGTGGTGACAGATGTCGACTAGACTTGTGGAGATCATTTTGCAGTATATACAAATACCAAATCATTATGTTGTACACTTGAAACTAAAGTTATATGCTGATTATATCCCAATTAAAAAATTGAGTAAGGTAACTAAGATAAGATTGTTTGATAAGTCATGTGACTTTGCTTGAGCATATAAACTTGTGATTTTCTTTCTTTTGGGTAATTAGGCATATTCAGTGTATCTAATTCCCTTAGTAGAATGCATTATAGGAGCCCTTTATGCTTAAAACTTTGTTTCGTTATACTTTGCTTCAAAAAGACAAATCTTTTGCTCTTTGACAATGATTCTTATTATTCCTCAGATTAGACTACATGTTATATTGCAAGGAGTGTTAGAGTATGCTCTGTAACTTGGTCTAATGTAATACTCTAATATGGCTATGTATCATTGTTTTGGTATTTAACTTACAATTCTCTCATCAATTTTTAAAGTGTTTTTTTCCAATGATAGTAGATGAACTGAGTAGTTTATGGTCCCAGTACTGAAGGCTGGAGAGCCAGGGATATACCTTATTGCTTAGGATGTTTTTGTTGTCATTGTTATATTGTCTAGTAGTTTAGTTCCCCTTGTGAGAGAATTCACATCTCCTTGGAAGAATTGATCATGTTGAAAGTTTTTTTTTAATAGGTAAAAAAAAGAGAGAGAACATTTCTAGTTTCTGTCCCTTGGACTTTAAACCTGCTCCGAGGCACGGCGTCTCTGCCTGAGTTCCTGAATTGATCCCAGCTTAACAGTTCAGTGGCGTTAGTGGACAGGCTCTGTCTGGGCGTAGACTTATCTCATGAGCTATAGACTGTTGACAATGCTCTTCTTTTTACTGACAATGCTCTTTTTACTTCTTTTCACTAGAATGTGATCTTGGTGAGATAATAACTTGGGCTAAAATTAATCTAGGGTTTTTTCAGCTTCACATCCTATTGCTTTCGTCTTTAATGTTATTAACTAAAGCCTAAGTATGATATGTTTCAGTTAAAAAATTAAAATTTTAGTTTCAGTTTTTCATCAAAATGCAGTGTATTAATTTAAGAGTTAAATGTATTAGAGAGTTCACTTCACTTGCTTGCTTTTAGGCACCCATCAATTATTTTTATTGATGAGCTGGATGCACTTTGTCCTAAAAGAGAAGGGTCTCATAATGAAATGGAGAAAAGAATTGTAGCTTCACTTTTAACACTGATGGATGGTATTGGTTCGGTAAGTATAGTACTGTATTGATTCTGTGTAGGAAGGGTCGATTCTTAATGTGTACATAAGTAGTAGCAAAAACTATCAAATATGTCTAAGTTTTGGGGTATTCTAGGATAAGGGAAAATATTAGCCATAAAAACTAAAGGAAAGGCCCATTAAAATAATTTTCTTCAGCACATTTGTTAGTAAATGTTAGGACAGTATAACCTGGCATGTTTTTCTAGTATATAGAAAATTTCTAGATAATGTACAGCAATGGAGTTCTTTTGTAATAAATGATATTAACTTAAAAACCTGGAGCAAAAACCAGTAAGAAAAGTTCTAGTCGTTAAATTTTAGGGGATTTGACAAAGAAATTTCATGAGTGAGTCTTGTATACCCACGTATAAATTGATTCTTTTGGGGCTTTATGTTTAGCAAATGAGAGTAATGGAAAATGTGTTTATAGAACATTAAAAGGAATTTACCTTTCTATCAGATTCTCTGCCAGGGCATACACTCTTATAATAATTACATCTATGTGCTAATTATGAAAGGGAAATGTTATACATACGACTAATAGAAAACAGGAGTAAGGAAAGCTCTCTCAGACTCCTGACAGCCGTTTACCAGGAGAATACCCTTTATATGCAGGATTGTAAAGAACTCATTGTTTAGAATCATAATTTATTAGAACCAAAAGAAATTTTAGAAATCATGTAATCCCAAGTCTTCCTTTACACATTAAAAAACTGGACTGTTAGAACTTTTTGGTTTTTACTGCCTGTGGATAGTAACTGATCATGTGGAAATAATGTGAAGGTTTGGTATTAAGTCTATGTTATTTCCTAGCTAACGTATTACAGTTTTAAAGAGAAGGGTTGCTACCTTGTGGAGGCTGAATAACCACCTGGTTCTCAGTTTTGGGGCAGGACCCTGGGTGTGATCGTCATGTCCCAGATTTGGTTCTCAGTTTATAAAGCTGGAGAATCCAGTGATGTTAGTATGTTGGAGATGGTGGGGCTCTGAGGCACCAACACTCACAAGAGACTGATGTATAAACCAGGGTGCCCATTTATTCATTTATTATAAGAAATATAATTATTAAGCTGACCAAATGTCTTTGTTTATTAATGACTATTTTCACCTGAAAGGCAAGTATATATGGAGAGCTGTACTCTAATTGGAGTTCCTGGTGAGCAGGAAGTCACACGGAAGGAGGGCTCTGTTGAGGCCGTAGCCACAGTGTTCCTGGGCCGCTTTCTCTGCCTCCCTGGGCCTGCTGTGCACTGCTGTTCTTGCCTTTGGGCGGGGCTGGACGCATGTGACACTGATGTTTCAGTCTGAAGATATTGAAGGGCCTGTATTTGTCTTCTCAATGCCTGCTTCATGGATTCATTTGTATCCATGCATTTTCTGTTGGCACATCTAGTATAATGGATTAGGTTTGAGTTTTCTTACTTTAACTGCCATTGCAGTTAAGCTTATCCTTGAGATTACACTTGGGTCATCTAAGTAGAACGTTGGATATTAACTATGATCACAATCATAGTTCTTTATAATTTGTTCCAAATTTCATTCTCAGAGAGTGAAAGCCCATACGTATTCAAGGGTGGCTGATACTCGGGTGTTGGTTATATTGCTATCTATATTTTCAGGAATTTAAAAACTTATCAAAATCAAAACTGGTTCATATGTGAATAAGAGTTCTTTGACAACTGTAATAGAGCCTTGTTCTAGTTGAATAATATTAGGTCATAACCTTTGCTTTCAAGTAGGGGAAAAGGACAACTTAAAACAGTTACATTAAAATACCTGTATGGTAGGGTATTATATGTCATTCATTAGACTAGTGTAGGTAAGACGCTAGAAGTGGGTGAGACATCACTTAGGGTAGATGGAGAGTTAAGTATTGGAAAGCGTTCTAAGTGAGGGAGCATTTAGGCTTAGCTTTGGGAAATGTAGGGTGAGTAATAAAAGTGTAAGGGGTAGGACTCAGCAGCCTGGACAGTTAGATCCATCCTTCTCTCTATAGCTGGTATCTATTGGGTCGTCGGGAAAGTCATGACGCATTTTTGCATTGAAAAACATAGAAAAATACGTCATGACTTTCCCGACGACGCAATATATGTACAAGGTGTGGTCAAACAATATGGTTTAAGTAAAAAAAGAATTTATTACAGTAAAAGACACATTGCCATTAATCCCCCTCAAAATACTGCCTCTCTCTACCAACACACTTAGCCCGTCATTCTTGCCACTTTCTGAAGCATTTCTGGAAGCCCTCTTTGTGATTGTCTTTAGTTGTGTTGTCGTGCTGTCTCGATATCCTGAATCATCTTGACTTTGGGGAAGAGCCAGAAGTCGCATGGTTGCAGATCCAGTGAATAAGGCGGAGGACACACCATAATGTTTTTATTTGATGGAAATTGCCGTACCAGAAGCGATTGCAGCAGGCAGTGTTGTCATGATGGAGGGTGATTTATGGCACACTTTCAAACACACCTACCCTCAACTGTAGCTCACACCCAACTGACTTCACCAAACATGTTGAAACTTGTCACACTGCTACTAAGGTGTGACTTAGAGTCATAATATAGGCGCAGCTTCCCATATTGTGATCCCTGCCTTTCCGTTGGATGGCACTTGGCAGCAGCATTCACCGTATTGTTTGAGCACAACGGGAAGACTCCATGTCACACATCGCTTCAGGTACAGTGTGTCCATTACAGAGTGTCCTCATCCACCTTATTCTCTGGATCTGGCTCTGTGACTTCTGGCTTTTCTCCAAAGTCAAAATGACCATGAAAGGTAAACGTTTTGAATTAATTCAGGACATCGAGGCAGCCACGAGAGCACAACTAAAGACACGAAAGAGGACTTCCAGAACTGCTTCAGAACGTGGCAGAATGATGGGATAGGTGTGTTCAAAGCAAGGGGGAATATTTTGAGGGGGATTAATGACAATGTGTCTTTTACTGTAATAAATTTTTATTTAAACATTCACCGTATTTTTTTATCACACCTCGTATATATAAAACTTCCAGAAGAATAGCTAACCTGTTTTCATTTTGTTTTGTTAGGAAGGAAGTAAAGGACGGGTGCTGGTCCTTGGGGCCACAAATCGCCCTCAGGCTTTGGATGCTGCACTCCGCAGACCTGGACGATTTGATAAGGAGATTGAAATTGGCGTTCCAAATGCTCAGGCCCGGCTGGATATCCTGCAGAAGCTGCTTCTGAAGGTGCCCCATTTGCTCACCAAAGCTGAGCTGCTGCAGCTGGCAAACAGTGCTCACGGATACGTGGGAGCCGACTTGAAAGCCTTGTGTAATGAAGCAGGTGAGAGCGACTGGCTATAGTCCATCTGTACTGATGGACGTAACTCTGCTTTGGGCACCTACTGATGGTTTACATCTTCTTTCTTACTGGAAATGCTTAATGCTTTTTAATCATAATCATAAAACATATTTATTGGGGGAAATGTAGATAATTCAGAAAACTATAAAAAAGAAAATCACTCTGAATCCTACCTCATAAAGATAACCACTATTAGAGTGTGTATCCTTTCAGACTTTTCATAATTATACACACATGCATGAATACTAACTACTGGTAATGTGGCTTAATAATAATTTCAGATTATCAGGTATTGAACAGATCTATCTTCTCCTAATTTATCAATGAATCAGTTTATGAGAGGGTAATTTTTAAAAAGATGAGCGTTATAATTAGTGTCCAGTAGGGAAAATATGTGGTTTTGTGTGGACTGTCTTAAATACTGTTGTGTGTTGTGTTACATGGTGTCGTTCTCTATATATATAGCAGAAGAAAGTTTAAGAACAGTGTGCTAGAATTTTTTGCATGGGATTTTGTAGCGGCAGAGGGTATAGTAGAAAATGGATGTTGATTGTTGGGCAGACCTGCCTTTGAAATCAGGCTTGTGATCTTGGGCAAGTTCTTTGCCTTTTCGAAGCCTTGGTTTTCTCCATTTGTAAACTGAGGGCGTTGTGGTAGACGTTATCTAAGCACCCTTGTAAATATCCTAGATATAAGGGAGAAAAATAAGCAAGAAATGCGTTAAAAAAAGAAAGAATAGGAAAAATCAGAAAATGGAAAGGGGAAAACAACAAAAAAACACCCAAGTTACTCGCTGAACTTGGCCTGGCCTCTCTGGCTCCTTTCCCGCATACAGCTGGCCTTTCCGCCCTCGTTGTCCCCTCCCTTTGGTACTCTGTCTGAGTGACTTACACTTCGGTGCTTCTGCAGGGCTTTCTTCCACGGTGTTCTCAGAAACAATGCGACAGAGCAGACTAATGTTGATTGTGAAGTTAGTTGCATTTTCTCAATGAAACAATTTCTGACTTAGGACTTGAGTAAATTATAAAATTGGTTAATAGCGTAACTCAGAAGGAAAGATAAAACAACTCTAAAGTTCTGTATGTACAAATAGTAGAATTGTGCTCAAGTTCTGTAGGATGGGCCCGACTGCACCCCATTTAATATTATGATGTGTGCATTGAACATCAGAAGAAAAAAGTCAGCCACATGGTAAACTTGAACTGTCATGGTTGTAAATAAAGGCAATTGACTATTTCCTACTTAAATGTAGAGGAGTTATTGGGGATAATTTGACTGGCCCTCAGTACTATTTTAAAATGTCAGCTTGGGGAAGTTTGGACTGGTGCTGTTTGTTTTTAACGCGGGTAAGTTTCCTTGGGCAAGTGGAGGCAGTCACAGGCTTTACATTGACCTGAGAATTGCACACAAAGGTAGAATCATTGATTTTTTAAAAAGAGTCATGGTAACATCTTAACATTTGGAAGTGATGTTAATGATTTCAGCTACGTAATAGGTGCCCAGTAAGTGTTTGACCTGAGAAGTGTATGAAAGATGGAAGACACGATAGGGCATACTGAACGCCCGCGCCCCTTGTGAACGAAGAAAAATGTTTATTCACCTCAGAGTTGGGGTTTGGATTTAACCCCCTGGTGAGATGCTCTCCTTCTCGCCTCGTTGCCTTCAGAAACCCCTGCTCGTGTGGAGGAAACAGCTCCGAGTGGTTACTGGTCTCTGCCCTGAGAGCATAAACAGGTGAGGTCGCCTTGTGCGCCTTCAGTAACTGCTGCTGCTCCATCCTTGGGCCCACTGATAAGATTTCTCAGCTTGGCTCTGCTGTGGACTTCTAAGTACGTTTTGCTTAAAACTGCTGCTTTTCAGGACGCATTTTCATTGTTCACCAGTCATGCTGTGTGCTTCCGTGGACAGCTTGACAATGCCCACAGCACATCTGGGAAGTCAGGCGTCTGGACCTCCAGCTCAGGAGATGTATTCCTGGTACATGAGTCAATTCTGTCTCTTTCTATTATTTACTCTTTTCCAGAAGAATCCAGATTCATTTCACATGTTCTCAATTCAGGGCAGATCACTTGGAGCGGAGGTTCTCAAACTTGATCGGGTATAAGATCAGCTGGAGAACTTAGGACAAGGGATTGCTGGGTGGGCCCCCTCCCGCCCCCTCCCGGAGTTTCCTATCTAGGAGCAGCTGCTGCTCGTCTGGAGACCACACCTTAGAGCCAAGGACATAGGACATTGGTTCTGAAACTTCATTACGCATTATGTTCACCTGCGAAGCCATGCCCACTCCTCCCCACACTTCGAGTAAGGGAGGTGGGAGCCGGAGTCAGCATTTATGGTGTTTCCCAGGTGACTTGGATCAGCCAGCCCTGCACTTGTCTGTGAGCAGGCGATTGAATCCCTGACGGAGGCCAGTGGTTCTCCAGTTTAAACCTGTGTGAGATTCACTGGCAGAGCTTGTTATATGCGTTCTGGGCCCCATCCTACTGGTCAGCAGGTCCAGGTGGGGTGTAGGAATTGTCACTTTATCACGTTACAGGTGATAGTAATGCTGCTGGGGCAAGGCCTCCACTCTTGAGAACCACTGATCTAGGCCACACAGCTCTCTGATGTTTGACGAGTCTCTGTAACTGGTTTAAATCTCTGGATAAATTTAGGGAAGGCAGTTCTCTGACTCCCTCTGAGAGCATTGATTTCTTCCCAGAGCTTTTAGGTGGCAATCACGCACTGTTCAACATTATATTCTTGAACTCTTCTGCGCTTGGAGAAAATGCGCGTCCACGTTTGGCCTGCAGGTATGTATAGTGGTTTGAATCCAACTTAAAAATGACAAATAATGCTGAAAGCTAGAAAAGCCACAACTGAGGAAACAGCTAAAAATTAACAATTCAAAATAGAAAAGAGAATATAGACATATGTTTCTCCTAGCACATTTGCTTGCTTATGGTTTGTGGACCTGTGTGTTCTCTGAGCTTTTGTGTGTTGGCTGGCTGATGGTTTTCCTTCTTCCTGAACGGCCTTCTGGTTGGGGAAGCTCTGCCTTTTTAACAAAACATGGTGCACAGATGTCTAGTAAGAGCATACGGTGAAGTGATTCAGAGTTTCGTAAAACCTACATGAACTATTTCCTGCATAGTTTTGTAATCTAAGGGTTATTACTTGCTGGATACTAATACGAAAGGTCAAAATCACTGTAATACAACATATATTTGTACAAGCTTTTTTGGAGGATAGAAGGTTTGCAATCTCTTCTGCAGTCTGTGCGAGCGATACTTCATATTCTGTAGGAGGCCTACTCTTTTTCTAATCTTCCCTTCCGGTGTTGCTCAATATTTTCCACATCTTTTGTCTTTGTCTCCATAATGAATATGAAAATTGGAAATACTACAATAGTATTGCTTTCAACACTTTGATCTCTTATTATCTGAGCAGATACACAATGTTAAGGGTTAGCTGTGAAACTTATTTTCAAATGTTAGGTTTCCTTTATAATTAAGTTTTGAGCTAGAGCATGGCTTGATATGTCTTGACTTGTCCAAAAGCCTAATGTTTTGTAGCTCACCTTTTTAAGCAAAGAGCAGCTGCATTTTGAAATGTTTTATCTCAAGCGGACAAGCTGTTTACAAGCTCAACTCTGACACATCCTGACATTTAATGTCTGTGTTTGTATTCCTTTTGGGATTAGGCTGCCTTTCTAATTAATTAGTTGCATAGCCTTTTATTAATTCCCTCAAAATTTATAATGTTTTAAATTAACAACATAGATAAGCACACCACACTTTTTTAGAAAACATGAAATGTTAATTACGTAGCAGAGACATGAATTATATAAACTCTGCTGAATGTTAGAAGATGCTTAGCAACAGTGTTTTCCAAATATAGAGATTTATTATAAACTTCTCCTAAGGCTGCCTGTGCCATTTCAGGAGAGTGAATATAAATAGAGCTTGATTTCTTCAAGAAGTGGACTCAGTCATTTTGTTTACAATGAAAGGAAGTATTTGCCTCACATCTCTAAGAATTTATCTTTAGCATCCTTGTGATTACACATCATTTCAACGTATTCATACCAAATACTTGGGCCTTGATAAGATAGCATCACAGAACAGGAAGAATGGAAACTCTTATTTAAACAATGACTTTGTCATTATTACACTTAAGTAGGTCTAGTAATAATACTGAACCTAATTACTGTAACGCAGCTTTTTTGAGATGGAAAAATTTATCTGTTTTGTACCAGAGTCCTGAGATATTTATAGCTGTTAGTCGGCCCTCCCACCCGTCACTAGCTTATTTTAACAGGAATTTATGGTGAGTCTTCCATGTGCAGAGTACCCAACAGTCTAGATCTTATGAAAGGTTCTCTTTCTAACATTTTCCACTGTTTTTTGAATTCTGCCAATGTCGTTTTCTAAGTTAGAAATAAAATAACTGATTCTGTGAAAATTCAATACTTGTTAATAAAGCCTGGGGAAATAGTGGGGTTTAATGGAGAGCTTATGGGGAGCTTGAGAGTCAATGCTGGCACCAGCTGCCCGTGATCAGCTGGGAGTCGTTGGGCAGCCACTCAGTGTCACGTCCAGCGTGGCAAGGGCAAATGGGACACGAGAGGGGCGGCGCAGATT